CAGTACTTTGCTTTGCTGAAGCTGTTTTCGCTCTGTTTGATACTGGTCACAGATCCCAGAAGAGGTCTGCAGGGGAATCATGTACCATGGTTCAAGAACCTGCGCCCTCTATCACAACCAGTATAAAGGTTGCCAAACCCAGGCCTCTTCTAAGTGTGGGAGACTGAGAAATGAGAGAGCAGAGAAAAAAGGGCACTGGGTACTCAACATCCTTGACCATCCTGCAGCAGTTCAGGTTTCTAAATGCAGTGCAGGGATAGCAAGCTTTGAATTGTCTTTGATTCACCCAAACTTCAGAAAGGAACTTACCAGTGACTCAGTGGGAAAGACAGCCTTAGGCTCAAAGATCTCAAAGAAAACTGCGGGGATGGAAAGCAGGTCTGTGTGCTCGCTGTTTGCAGAAAGAATGGACTTGAGACACGTGGTCCTTTTCAGCCCCATGTACCAATGACTGCATAGCACCGCCTTAGACAATACCAAAACTTTGGTCTGTATCCTGAATTTTATCTATGTCCCTCAAAGGGAGACAACAGAGAGACCCCATGAAGGATGCCAGATACTGAAAGATACATAATGTGTGGAAAACAGGGGGAAGGTTAAAAACTGAGTTATCCGGTCTCATTCGTTTCCCTCTTTCCAACCACATCATTGGTTTAAACATTTTTCTGCTGAGGGTCCCCATCTGCTCAGCCTCCTTATTTCCACAGAATCACAGAATGGTCTGGGTTGGAAAGGACCTTAAGATCATCCAGGTCCAACCCCCTGCCATGGGCAGGGACACCTCACACTAAACCGTGTCGCCCATGGCTCTGTCCAACCTCGCCTTGAACACTGCCAGGGATGGAGCATTCACAGCTTCTCTGGGCTCCCTGTTCCAGTCCCTCACCACCCTCACAGTAGAGAACTTCTTCTTTATATCTAACCTGAACTTCCTGTGTTCAAGTTGCATCTGTTTGAGAGGGCCCACACGAACTGAAGAGAGAGATGGGATGTCCAGGGAATGGATTGCCCAAGGAAGCTGTGAATGCTCCATCCCTGGCAGTGTTCAAGGCCAGTTGGACAGAGCCTTGGGTGCCACGGTTCAGTGCGAGTTGTCCCTGCCCATGGCAGGGGATTGGAACTGGATGATCTTAAGGTCCTTTCCAACCCTAACTGTTCTGTGATTCTATGTGCTCTTTGTGTGCATGCAGAAGCTGGAGGGTGGCTGTCCGAGAGCACAGGAACGGCTGCCCTCTATACCATACTTGTATTAATGACAATAAATACAACACAGCAGAAGGCTGAGTCGATCACAACACACAGCCCCATCGGCAGCTCCTGTCTGGCTGTGGGATGCTGCCCTCCTCCGGCAAACTGGGACAGCCGCCTGCATCTCCAGAGCCGCTTTCTGTATTAGAGCTGAGCCACGCTGAGTTGCGGGTACCAGACACCCGGTTTGGCAGCTCAGTGTCCCTCTGAAGCGGAAAATCAGCACCCTGGGGCACTCCACCCTTCTGTCTTGTGAGGGAAGCCGTGGTTGGAAAAGACTTTGCATCCCTCAAGGAGCAAATTCCATCCTGAGCCTGCGTGTGACACTGCTAGTGCTGAACAGTAATGCCCTGTGAGAGGGTGCAGATCCAGGGCTCTTCCCCTTCCTGACAGGGGTTTGTCGCTGTTGTTGAGGTTTTTTCCTCATGTCTGTCTCTTGGCAACACAGTTGTTGACTTGGAAACTCAGTGCTTTAAATACGTTTGAGTGTTTCTGCTGAATCCAGCATCTGTTACCACATGAAGTTAACCTTCAGCACAGGTACCCGGGGCATGCTCCCCTGTGAGCATCCTTCAGGGAGCTCCTCGGTGGCTTGCCTTCCTTATTACCCTGGGTCACACAGCTGCCACTGGTAGCAGTGCTTCTTCCCCCACATACCCCATATACATCTTCCTTCTCATCCTAGAAGTCCTCTGAGTGAGCCATGTCCTGACAGAGGAAATGATACATGGGCCACTGAAAACTCAGGAAGTTCAACAAGAACAAGGGGAATGCTTTAACCTGCCAGAGGGGAGACTGAGATGAGCTCTTAGGCAGAAGCTCTTCCCTGTGAGGGTGCTGAGGCGCTGGCACAGGGTGCCCAGAGCAGCTGTGGCTGCCCCATCCCTGGCAGTGTTCAAGGCCAGGTTGGAAAGGGCTTGGAGCAGAGTGGCTCAGTGATGGCTGAAGCCGACCTAGCAGCAGAAGGAGCCTCCAAGTAACTGAAAATCAAATGTTTTTTATTACCAAGGCGATTTTTCTCCTCTGAAAGCCTGAATTTTTATGTGCTCAGCTTAAAGCACTCCCTCACACCAGCTGCGAGAAACCCAGACCTCTGGGGAGAACACAGAGGGTTGAGGTCAGACAACCCACAGCTGCTGGCAACTGCTGAAACAAGCATCTTACTTACTTATGGGTGCCCAGCATCACGGCTCTCAGAGTTCACTGTTTCAGTTAGTATGTTTTACAAAGAGTACCACCAGCAATCCTCCTTCTGGGCTGCGCTTTGAGGTGTAACTTCAGCATCCCTGGGCTTGTACAGGGTCTGAGAGAGACTGAAGTGGTTTATTGTGATTCCCAGAAAACTCCAGCAACAAACTGGCCAACAGAGTTCCAAGCTGACAAGCAGGTATTCTTCATTGCAGGGCTGGGAGACACAGGGGATAGCTCCTCCTAACGTGTATCCCCACATTGCTACACTGGCCATCCTTATATAGTCCCGGGGCATACATACATATTCATGAGGCTACACACGAATTACATCATTTTCCAGAAAGTTTCCCACATGCATACACAAATGTGGTGGTGGTCTCTGAGGGTCATTTACTTCTCCCAACAATCTTCATCACTTCTGGCAGCCTTTGAAGCACCAGCTTAAATAACATCACAGACATAGCAATCATCCTGTCCTTCTACTTATCAGTTAGTTTAACTGTGCCCACCCTGGACATCTGCTAGTCCCAGATACTCCCCATCCCCAGGTCCTGTTTCTCTATTCTGCTTCTCTTACACTTTTTGTACTAAGGTCCTAAGGACCTAAAACTATGTCAACTACCTTCAAGCACTGCAGTTACTTTCCATTACAAAGCCATCAAACTTAACATCACTTAGAACTGATTACCTTTTGTGCTTTCATGCCTCCTTGTCTCAGTTGTAAGTTGTACGAGCAGAAAAGTGAGATTTCAATGTTGCAGAAATGCTCCTTGGCTGTGAAATCTGCGTGTTGCTCTGATAAGGAGCAAAATATGAACAGGTTACAATTTGAAAGCTTCAGAATTCAAGAGCACAAGAGCCCAGAGTAATAGTTTGACCTTTCAGGAGATGGACAAGAGGAAACAGCCTCAAGCTACACCAGGAGAGGTTTAGATGGAGCTGAGCAACAATTCCTTCGCCAGAGGGTGCTCAGGCATTGGAACAGGCTGCCCAGGGCAGTGCCTGTCCTTGCAAGTGGAGACGAGGCCTTCGCTGCCATGGGTTAGTGGTGGCTTGGCAGTGCTGGGGAACGGTTGGACTGAATGAGCTTAAAGGTCTTTGTCAACCAAGCTGATTCTATGATTAAGTCAACAAGGGCCTTCCTGCTGCTGCTAAGGTCAGAGAAAGAGGAAAATGCCTTCGAAAGAAAACAGCTGGATGAACCTCTCCAGGCTGTGAATCAGCCCAAACAAGAACATGTAGTTAATGGGAAAGACTAAACACACATCGCAATGTCCTTAACAGATTTCCACCAAATGATAAAATGAGGGGGGATATTTCTGCCCAGACAACCACCACACAGCCCCCCCCAAGACCAGAATTCACAGCACCCGTGCCATAGCCTTATCTGCCCAAACTACCACATGCAATGAGCAACAAGAACTGGGTGGGCATTTTGCAGACTTACAATGCATATGTATATAATGGAGGTATGTGAGGAATAATATGTATGTGGTGATACGCGGATAGACTCCACAACTCGTTAAAGTTGTAAAGTAGGTATGCTTTATTCAGCACTGAGGCGCACGGGGGATAACTCCTCCAAAAGCATGCGCATTTTAGTGTTGTCTTCCCTTTACATTTATCCTCTAAAGTTATACATATGCATGAGGTTACACAACACATCTATACATATTCATGTCCTATCCCCACTTCGTATTATGAGCTAAGAAGTCCTTTGCACCTGCACAGTGCCTCCTAGTGGTCGTGAGCGAGGGCCTCAAGATGAAATAAACGAGTCTTCCTCTTGTGAGTAGGGGTCTTCAAGATGAAGTAAATGAGTCTTCCTCAAAAGCCTGAACTTTTCATCACTAGCCATCACACATGCTCTTTAGGAGTCTGGTCAAACAGACAGCAAAGCTGTCTGTTTCTCCCCTTATCAGTAGCTTATTGTCCTGGTACTGCATGGCAAGCATGATAGGTATTTGCAAACAGTACTTTTGGTTAAACAAGCCAAAATTCCTTTAACCCCCCCTTGTACAACCCCCCCTTGTACAACTCCCATAAACCCCCCGACAACCTCCCTTGACAACACCCTTGTACATCCCCCATTCCCCCTTGTACAACTCCCTTGTACAACCCCCCTTGTACACCCCCCCCGTACATGGGTCAACCCTCTGCATCACTGGTATATGACCAATGGAGGTACTGTCTCTTCTCAGGGTGCATGAGAGGCGGAGCAATCCCCCATGCACCCAATACTGCAACAAAGCCATGTCGGCTTTAACCCCCCGTTCTTTCTTTAACCAGTCATTCTTTAACCCGCCATTCTGGTTAAAGAGTTTATGTCCCGGGGCTCGGGGACACCCGCAACAGGGCCTTATAAACACCTCACTGAGAAAGAACCCGTCGCTCTCCACCATGCGCCTACAGCTCCTCCGCTCCGCATGGCGGCGCAGCGCCTTCCCCTTGCGGCTGAAGGACTACAGTACCCAGCATGCCCCGCGGACGGCCTGACCGGAAAGGCATCTCCACGGCGCTTGCGCATTGGAGGACGGTGGGTGCGCGCCGGAAGTGGAGTGCTTTTGCTGCAATGAAGGGAGCTTGGTATGGGGCCGCGCTCCTCGGCCGGGCCTTGCGGCCTCCGGGTGCGCGGAGAGGTGAGAGCCAAGCCCCGGGGGCACGGAGCGAGAGCGGCAGGAGCGGGCAGAGCCGCCTGCTGTGGTAGGGAGTAACCTCGGCCTCTGTGGGGTTGTACTGGAGAACGCACAGGGTGTTTGTCGGGCTGTGCTCGCTGCCCGAGAGCGATCTTGGGGCCGGTCCCTGAGGTGATGTGTTGCGGAGCACGCTGTAATAAGGCCCAGGCAGGGGTGAGTTATATGGGCAAGAGCTCATGGGGACTGAGCTACTTTGTACTCTGGCAGAGAGTAAAGAAGAGGAACTTCCCTATGAGGATGCTGAGGCGCTGGCACAGGGTGCCCAGAGAAGCTGTGGCTGCCCCATCCCCGGCAGTGTTCAAGGCCAGGTTGGACACAGGGGCTTGGAGCAAGCTGCTCTAGTGGAAGGTGTCGCTGCCCGTGGCAGGGGTTTGGGACTGGATGAGCTTTAATGTCCTTTCTAACCCAGAACAGTCTGTGATTCTGTGAAGATAGATACATGAGTCCTAGTTGGTGTAGATATCCTATGGAAAAGGGATTGGTGTTTTTTATATAACCCAGCACTCAAAAGAACCCGGCTTTTTGTTGCAACATCTGTGCATCTTTGCCGTGATGCAAGGCATTAAAATGAGATACAGCATGATAACACAATCTGGTTAAGTTTAAGGTATGTGTTTTCTCTCCCAGGTTTTGCTGCCACGCTGGTTAGGAACTCATACGATGTCAGAAATGTTGAACTCACTCCCCCGGAGCAGAGGAAGGTGACTTTTGATACTCACGCTTTAGTGCAGGATCTGGAAGCCCATGGTAAGTGTTACCAGACAGATCATTCAAAGGAAGACTTTTAGGCTCAGTACTATAACTTTGAGTGCTCTGTGTTTTCCCAAAGTACCAAACTTGCTGTTATAAGGTGGTTTGGCAGCCCATTGAGGAGGATGGTGAAGGAGGCACCTGACCCTGATGCTTCTGTAACCATACAAATAACTGTTACATTAGATTTACCTTGTCTGTATCTATAGGCAGGTTTATATAGTGTTTTCCAGCTGGAACATGATACCCTTACCAAATGTAACAATAACACTTAACTGTTTTCTAGCAAAAATAAAGGTTTTTTTGCAGGTGGAGGGAGGTGATCCTGCCCCTTTACTCTGCTCTCTTGAGACCCCACCTGGAGCACTGTGTGCAGTTCTGGTGTTCTCAGCATAAGAAGGACATGGAGCTGTTGAAACAAGTCCAGAGGAGGCCACGAGGATGATCAGGGGCGGGAGCAGCTCCTATATGAAGACAGTGGAAGTTCATTATAAAGCTAATTTTGTATGAATTACTTTTATAGTGCATGAACAGTTCAGGATTATACAGAAACCCTGTCAGCTGCATGCACAGGGAACTTCAGTATGTTAAAAGTTAACGTGCTTTTAGATGTTGGCAGCATTAAGTCTGTGGTTTTTGTAGTTAAAAGTCACAGTGACTGGCTCCTCACTGTCATTTCTCAGCGACTGTGTGACTTCTCATTTACCACTGCAGTTGGGTACAGCACTTGAGTGTCCCTGTTCATTATGTACAGCTTGCTCTTGTTTCCATCCAACTTTCTAATACTACCTTAACTTGTCACCTTCCAACTGTCTTCCAGGCTTTGGGAAGGAACAAGCAGAGACCATCTTGAGGACGTTAGTAAACCTGTCGAATGTCAGCTTGGACACAGTCTATAAAGATATGGTTACCCAGACTCAGCAGGTAAAAGATACTAGATGGTGTACATGCACCATTATACAGGCACAGTGATGTGTAAGGTCTCGTGGGTGGGTATTTGAAAGGCAAGTGAGCATCTCTGTAGTACTATAAAGGCTTCACTGAGGTAGGTTTTCCCGAGTTTCAGGGTGGTGGTAAGAATAGTAATACCTAATAGAATACCAGGTTGGAAGGGACCAGATGGATCATCTGGTCCAAAAGTCTTAAAGCCTTTCATCTCACAGGAGTGTTTTCCAAATGCAGCCACGAATCAGCAGTGTAATGCAGAGTTTGCTTCATTTGCTTCTGCAAAGCTCAGAGGTGAAGCCAGAATCTTCACTGGGCTTTCCAACAGGTTAGGGCAGAAGAAAGGCTCAAGAAGAGGTTCCCAAAGAGAACAGGAGAGAGAACAGGATTACCTAAAATAGCAGAAAATTGGCAGTGGCTTTACTGAATGGCATGGCATTAAGATGTCTCCTTCCCTTAGATACTGGGGTTCGTCGACATAGCTGGAGGCAGTGAGTCAGTTCTGTAGCACAGCTGGTTTGTCTGCTGATAACAGAGGTGGTGGCAAGTTTCAGTTGAATAAATTGCCAAAATGAAAAGAACTTCAGTTTTTCTTGAGGACTGCACATCTGGGCCAAGCTCTGATGCATGGTGATGGTTTTAATAATGACTGAGGAAGGCTATGCCATTCTTCTTCAGCTGCTTAATGCAGTTAAGCATTGCTGTTTCATTTAAACTGCTGAGCCTTACATCCAAGAGTTTTATCTTGATACTCATTTTTAATACAAGTTATCTGTCCTCATTTTTCTGTAACCCTCAGAAGACAACAAGAACTTGTGTGTCTATTTTGGTTTTCCTCATCAAAGTGGAAACTTCTAGGAAACCCTGATATGTGTAGAGGAAGTCAGGATCCTCAATATATCTTGCATGGAATTGTGTTATGCAGAAACACTTGATTTTTGTAGTGCAGTCAGTGTTGAGACTGAATGTTTTAAGATGGGATGAAGCAAATGAGCTCCTCTCTGTCAATGCAGCTGAAGTTTCCCCAGGAAATGTAAAAACTTCCTTGTGTTCAAGTCAGACATCAGTGGAAGCTGGATCAGGGCAAACTTTCATACAATCACAGAATGGTTTGGATTGGAAAGGACCTTAAGATTGTCCAGTTCTAGCCCCCTGACATGGGAAGGGATGCCTTCCACTAGAGCAGGTTGCTCCAAGCCTCATCCAACCTGGCCTTAAACAGTGCCAGGGATGGGGCAGCCACAGCTTCTCTGGGCAAAAACATAATGAATTTAGTTAAGTGTAGGATCTGAGAAACACTGTTTGCTTCAGTCTGAGAGCTCTTCATTATTCTGGTGCTCAGCTTTAACAGCAGAATCCCACAGTGATGTGTTATTTTCCATGCTAAATAGCAGGTAACTTCCTTACAGTAGCTAAAGGAATGTTGCTTTCAGGAGTCTCAATTACAAAGTTTCTTTATTTTCATGGGGTTTTTTTACTCTAGTTGATAAAGAGCAGTTGAATCTGAACTTGCTGGTCCAAACAAGTAAGAGTTTTTTCAGTGCCTTTAGCTGTGTTTAACTATTGGCTGTCAGACTTCAAGGTTGGGTGAACAGCATGGTACTTGGACTAATCATAGAATCACAGACTGGTTTGGGTTGGAAGGGGCCTTAAAGCTCATCCAGTTCCAGCCCCCTGCCACAAGCAGGGACACCTTCCACTAGAGCAGGTTGCTCCAAGACCCGTCCAACCTGGCCTTGAACGCCACCAGGATGGAGCATTCACAGCTTCCTTGGGCAACTCATTCCAGTGCCTCAGCACCCTCACAGTAAAGAACTTCTTCCTTATATCTAACCTGAACTTCCCCTGTTTCAGTTTGAACCCATTACCCTCTCTGATGTTTTTGCATAAGTTCAGAAATAGCATAATAAAGCAACAGAAAAAAGCACAAATCCTCTAAAGTCTTTTTAACAAATTGCAGCTATGAAGTTCTGTGTTTCTGTCACTTTCTTGGTGGAGTCTCCCCAGTTTTGTGCTTTAGAGCAGCTAGTTTCATCCATTTCAGACCTCAGTCTTTACTTGGTAGAAAGTGTGCAATTTAATGACATCTTTTATTACTTCTAAGGAAATAACTTTGAAGCAGATAATGGCACATCTGGACTCCATTCGAAAAGACATGGTCATCCTGGAGAAAAGTGAATTTGCAAACTTGAGAGCTGAGAATGAGGTACTAAAGAACACTTTTAGTTAAGCACTTAAATTGTAATGTTGGGTTGTACCTGTTGAACATGTCTGTGGAAAAAAAATATGAATGTAAAAGTAATTTTGGATACTTCTATCATAGAATCAAAGAATGATTTGGGTTGAAAGGGAACTTAAAGCTCATCCAGTTCCAACCCCCTGCCACAGACAGGGACACCTTCCACCAGAGCAGGTTGCTCCAAGCCCCTGTGTCCAACCTGGCCTTGAGCACTGCCAGGGATGGGGCAGCCACAGCTTCTCTGGGCACCCTGTGCCAGCGCCTCAGCACCCTCACAGGGAAGAGCTTCTGCCTAAGAGCTCATCTCAGCCTCCCCTCTGGCAGGTTAAAGGCATTCCCCTTGTCCTGTCCCTACCGGCCCTTGTCCCAAGCCCCTCTCCAGGTTTCCTGTAGCCCCTTTAGGCACTGGAGCTGCTCTAAGGTCTCCCCTTCAGGAGCCTTCTCTTGTCCAGGCTGTCCCAGCCCAGCTCTCTCAGCCTGGCTGCAGCACCTCTGTGTTGAACTGTTGTAGATTACAGCTTCCGTGATCACATAAAACATATTTCATGTGATCAGACTTGCTCAGTTTTCTTAGAATCATCTCCTGTAATTTTATTTCAGGGTGATTCTGGTACAGTCTTGTCCCCATTAACCACACAATGCAAGGCGAGCAGTTGGTCATTTCTCTGCAGGGTTTAATTAAACTGGTGATTGAGATACGGTTTGATTCTGCTTGATGGCATTTTGGTATTTTCCTGCCATCTGTAATCACAGAATAACAAGATCATTATCATTACAAAAGAATCCCTTTGTTTTGATCACAGTTCCCAGCAGATTATATATGGCTGTAGGAATTGAATACAGCAGTTAGGATGTTTAGTCAAGAACAGATCATCCCACTGGGAGACAAATCATGGCAAAGTAATAGCATGCATGTGGTGGCAGCGCTCCTGTGAGTGATGGGCTTGGTCAGCAGGGTTCTGGGCCTGTCAAATCATTTGTGTTCGTTTTTCTCCTCTGCACTTAGAAAATGAAAATCGAATTAGATCAAGTCAAACAGCAGCTGTTGGTAAGTAAACTGCAAGTACCTCCACACTCCTTTTAGGGAGAATAAATAGGGAGTTTCGTAATCTTTATTTGCTTTCAAGAATGAAACGGGTAAGATCCGAACTGACAGCAAGCTGGACATCAACCTGGAGAGGAGCAGAGTGACGGATATGGTAAGCTGGTCTGTGAGCATACCCTGACCACTGCTGTGTCCTGTTTTCTGTTGGCACAATTGTAATTTCTCTGTTATCCCACAGTTCACAGATCAGGAGAGGAAGTTGATGGAAGTGACAACAGAGTTTCATAAAAAAGTAAGTGTTGAGCTAGGTTTGTTTTATCACAGAATCCCAGACTGGTTTGTGTTGGAAGGGACCTTAAAGCTCATCCAGCTCCAGCCCCCTGCCATGGGCAGGGACACCTTTCACTGGAGCAGGTTGCTCCAAGCCCCATCCAACCTGCCCTTGAACACTTCCAGGCCTCTCAGGCTGAAGTCTGAGAGCCTGAGGGTGGACATGTCCCTTCTTCAGCATCTCCTTTAATTCCTGGATATGGCTTGTGAGTGCTTAAACTTTTTTGTGCAAGAATTTAGGGATGCTCTGTATGTGCTGTGGAATGCCTCCTTTAGGAGGCACTGGCATAGCAGAGATAAAAGTGTATGACCCAAGTTGGGGTTTTTTTGCTCTCTTTCCCTTCAGTATTCTTGCTGTATTGTACTAAACACCGTTCTGTGTTTTCTAAGGTCTCTTATCAGTTATGTATTTTACTCAGTGATAGGCTGGAAGTATATGTCTGTCATGTTGCCTGTAGCATGGTCCTCTTGTTTGGCTTTATGAAGCTGAAAGGGCTAGAGATTGTTGTTAAACACATGCTCTCTTTTCATGTTTCAGGATGCCAGTACCAACAGTGTTATCTCAGAAATCAGTAATAAGATTGACACTGAAATAGCTTCCTTAAAAACACTCATGGAATCAAATAAACTTGACACAATACGTTATTTGGCAGGTATGTGACGAGCAGCGGGGGAGTACCAGTAGTTTGAATGTATAAAATCTTACTCAAGAGTATCTGCTAAGTGAACTGAAGGAGTCGGTTGTATAGCAGCAGACAGTTGGGATTGAGCTGGGGAGATCCTTCCAACTGGAAGAGACGGGACACAGAGCACAGAAGGGATGGGGCATGCAGACTGGTGCTGCTTTGGACTGGGATTGTGCCCAGAACTGGGATTAGGAGGAATATGAACATGATTAACAAATAAAAGCCTGAATACCTTGTGTAGTCTGGCAGTACCTCAGCTTGCTGCAGGGCTACAAAACTTCTCCCGAGGTGATGCAAGTTATGCTGGAAGTGAGCTGTCATTCAGGGCTGAACTGGGAGGGACAGCTCTGCCTCCAGACCCGGAGTGCTTTTCCCTGCCAAGCAGAACAAACTTCTGTCAGCACACACATAACCAGTGACATTTGTATTGTGTTGGAGCTGGATTGAAAGGGGATAATGCTTTATATTTGGAAGTGAGAACAAGTTCAAATGGAAACATAATTAGCTTTCTTCCAGTGCTGATTGAAACAGCAGCTTATCAAATGTGAAAGACAACTCAAGGCTTCAGACGTGCAGCCTGGGTATCATAGGATGGTTTGGGTTGGACAGGATCTTAAGCTCATCTGATTACAGCCCCCTACCATAGGCAGGGAAGCCTTCCACTAGAGCAGGTTGTTCCAAGCCCCATCCAGCCTGGCCTTGAACACTGCCAGGAATAGGGCAGCTCCAGCTTCTCTGGGCACCCTGTGCCAGCGCCTCAGCACCCTCACAGTAAAGAGCTTCTTCCTTACATCTAACCTGGACTTCCCCTGTTTAAGTTTAAACTGAATGACAGAATCATGCATCCAGCTAATTGTTTTCTTCTTTTATTTTTTTAACAGCCTCAGTATTCACTTGCTTAGCGATAGCACTGGGATTTTACAGGTTCTGGAAGTAGATCCACATGGAATGACTGCATCACAGAGATGGAGAAAAGGCTACACAGGCAGGATCAGTTGGACAGTGGTGTTTGCGCTGTAGATAACCTCGGTACCTTTTTGTTTTTATACCCGTATTGTGCACTATTTGCTGACTGTGTAATGCTAAAGATCAAAGTAACTGGGAGGGAAGTAGCCAAACAGGAATACTACATTGTCCTTCATGGAATACTCTATTTCCAAGGATGACTTATGCTAAAGCAGAAAGTGTTTCCTGATGTGTTTTAGGATGAATTTTGTTTTCTTTTTGGAACATTCTCAGTGGAACATTCTCACTCTCACCTCTTCTTAGAATGGAAATACTAAACATTTGATCTGCCCTTGAACTGAGAATACCTTTCCCATGTTAGTATTCCCAGTATGGGAACACTAATGCCAGATTCCACAGATCTACTCTGATCCAAGTATAAATTGGATTTTTGCCTTCAGTCTGTTCCTCTCTTCTGACAGATTGAAGCCTGGCCCTTTCAGTTTTTTAATGTATGTATATATATGTATATACAAACCCACACTGCAATGGCCTTTACTAGAGAATCCTTGTTTTTTTCTTGAAAACTGGTTTACATATATTTCAAACGTCATGTAGAACTAAAATACCTTCATAGATTTGGGGTTTCTTTAGAGCCTCTTCCAATTCCCATAACCCCAGAGGTCAACAGAATGGGAGAACTTCTCTGTGTCTTTCTAAGGGGAAACCCCTCTGCTCACAGCAGCTCCAAGGCAGATTAAGTGTTCTTAACTCCTCCCTTCAGGTAGCACAGAGTATTTCCAGTAAACCCTGGTGTGTGTTCTGGGCATAGGATCTGGCTTGTAACATGGAAATACTCAGCATCCCAGTGGTGTCCTCCTCCTCCCATCTCCTCCAGACTGTCCTGTGATCCCATGGGATGTGCTGCCTCTCCTCCCTCCTGGTGATGATTCCTCTGCCTCCTACAAGGACTTCACACCTGTCACTGCAGAGCTGGGGCATAGCTGGTGGCTGCCTTCCAAAACTGAAGTGTGGAAGTTGGGTTGGAAAGGAGTTCTCTGGGATAGAAATCCCAGAGATCCTGCATCTGGAGTGCAAATGCGTGGGCTTGGTTTGGTTCTGCTAATAAAACAGGATTTAAAACCCAGCATTCCTGGATTGTACTTTTAAGAGTAGGTCCTTTATGGGTGACACAGTGTGTAGTGCTGATTGGTGGCAATTCATTTTTATTGCAGTATTAGTCTGCAGTTTAAGTCGCTGGTACCCTACCAAGGCTTCTCTGCTGTGCATTAAGTTATTATCTTCAGTTAAGAAAATAAAATCAGTTTCTTGTATTTGCTATCTGACTGGCTGAGACACCTGAATACAGATAAGGAGGCTGTGAAAATGGGCTTTTACAACAGGCACAGTGCTCATACAGTGGGAGTTGAAACTGCTTTTGTTGTTGTCTTTGTGTTTGATAAGTAGGCAAATGTACAAATCCATCTTCTCATAAGCTATGATCATTTCTGAGGTTCTCTGGATCACAGAATTGTTTAGGTCAAAAAAGGACTTTAAGATCATAAACCCAGCACTGCCAAGTCCAGCACTGAATTATGTCCCCAAGCACCACATCTACACATCTTTGAAATACCTCAAGAGATGGTGACTCCAGCACTGCCCTGGGCAGCCTGTTCCAATGCCTGAGCACCCTCTGGGGAAGAAGTTGTTCCTAAGCTCCAATCTAAACCTCCCCTGGTGCAGCTTGAGGCTGTATCCTCTTGTCCTGTTACTTGAGAGAAGTGCCCAGCCCACTCCTGGCTCCATCCTCCTGTCAGGCAGTTGTAGAGAGCTGTTCCTCATCACGATTCTGCTCCAGGCCCTGCACCAGCTCTTGCCCTTTGGACACACAGTGACTCGGGTTGATTTGTTGCACTGTTCCTATATGAGAGTATAGCCCCAACAGACACGTAGGAAATGGCTCATGTACTGCAGCTTCTCACCACCCTCATCACTACACTGAAGTGGCTCTAGAGCCTGAGTTTCTCCCTTAGCTCATAAGCAAGGCCCATGTTGTCAGTCAGTGTGCCTGTCCCTCAGCCTGTGTGCACAAAAGCACTGATTTCTTTTTAGCACCTTTGAAATTCTCAGAGATTAAGCTTCCTTTGGTAACTGAGGAGGGGACAGAGCAGGATTCAAGCACTAAAACAACTTCCAAGCACGTGGATTTCTTAGGAAATCAAAACCCTCAAAATGCGCAAGGTTCCAAAGGGACAAGAATTTCACAATAGCACAGAGGAAAATCTTTGTACATGAAGTCGTGAGCTGGTTTTAGGCGTGGAGGAGAGGTCAGGATTGCTGCTACTACGATGTGAACTCTTCAACCCTGAGCTAGACTCGAGTCACCGCTGCAGCTCAGCTGGCACCTCACAAAGGAACTGCTGCCTGGCTTATTTAGGAATGACTTGAAGATGGAAACCAAGGGGCCTGGCCTGTGTCTGCAGCCAAGAAGTACTTCTCACAGAGACTATTCTGGTTGCACACTGACGATCCTCTCCGATTAGTTCAGGAGTTAAGGTGCTGGGTTATTCCGCTCCTAATGCAGCAGTACAGGATAGACCAGGCAGTAGGGATACCTGTCTCAGACCTGGGAGGGCTGTGACATTGCTGCAGGTAACTCTTGAAATGTCCCCTTACAATCTGCAGCGTTGTTGCTGAACTGTTACCTGGGCAGGAAGAGCTTGATGCCTTTTTTTTTCTTTTAATAAAAAAAATGATGATGCTGTGATTAAAGAGAATTGTCTATCCCAGAGAACTAAAAAGCAGTTCAGAGAAGGCTCTGGGGAGATCTTAGAGCAGAAATCTGGACAGGGACTTTGGACAAGGGCCTGTAGGGACAGGATAAAGAAGAGTTGCTTTGAACTGACAGAGGGGAGATTGAGCTATAGGATGAAATTCTTTACTAATGAGGGTGCTGAGGCGCTGGCACAGGGTGCCCAGAGAAGCTGTGGCTGCCCCATCCCTGGCAGTGTTCAGGGCCAGGCTGGACACAGGGGCTTGGAGCAACCTGCTGTAGTGGAAGGTGTCCCTGCCTGTGGCAGGGGGTTGGAACTGGATGAGCTTTAAGGTCCCTTCCAACCCAAACCATTCTGTGATTCCATGATTAAATGCAGAGAGTGGAGCTGGGCAATGCAAGCACTTTGTGTTGTCTGGAATATTGCCATTCTTCCTCCTCAGGCTGCCCCTCCTTGGAGCTTCACCCCTGAGCGTAGTCTCACAAACACTCCCCCAGGGCTGCAGGCTGGTTTCTTCTTTACTTTCATTTTCTCTTTGCAAGGCTTGGAGATGGTCTCAGGTTGCTAAAACAAAGGACATCATTGCAGCCATTAAACAGCAGTCATAGAGTCATAGAATGGTTTGGGTTGGAAGTAACTGAGTAACCCTTTAGATGGTGACAACCCCCTCCTGAAGCATGGTCCAGCCTCAGATAGCAGCCAGGATGAACTGTCAGTCACTGCCTACCCAGCGTGGAAGTGCTTGGGGATCAGTCCACTCCCTCTTCTTAACGGGAAGATAAAGAACATTGGTGTTTCTTTGCCAGGGTACAAAGAGAAACTGGTACCCCTCAATAGCAGAGACACTGTCAGGACACAAAAAAGGCTACTGCCCACTTCTGTCCCCCAAGCTAAAAGCTGCTGGCACATTTATTCCAGTATTTGGGATACTCGCTCTGGAGCAAGTCCAGAGGAGGCCATGAAGATGCTGCAGGGGCTGGAGCAGCTCTGCTCTGGAGCCAGGCTGAGAGAGCTGGGCTGGGTCAGCCTGGACAAGAAAAGGCTCCTTAAGGGGAGACCTTAGAGCAGCTCCAGTGCCTAAAGCATCTGCAGGAAACCTGGAGAGGGGCTTGGGACAAAGGCCGGTAGGGACAGGACAAGGGGAATGGCTTGAACCTGCCAGAGGGGAGACTGAGATGAGCTCTTAGGCAGAAGCTCTTCCCTGTGAGGGTGCTGAGGCGCTGGCACAGGGTGCCCAGTGAAGCTGTGGCTGCCCCATCCCTGGCAGTGTTCAAGGCCAGGTTGGACACAGGGGCTTGGAGCAACCTGCTCTAGTGGAAGGTGTCCCTGCCTGTGGCAGGGGTTGGAACTGGATGAGCTTTAAGGCCCCTTCCAACACAAACCATCCTATGATTTCCCAGCACAGTGCCTAGCAGCCTCTGTCCCACACACTGGGGGTGTTCGTGTCACACTCACCATGGGGGGAGCAGGAGAGCTGTATTGTTTCTCCTGTTTCTCCAGGCTCGCTCTCAGCTGGTTTATCTTGGCACGGCACTCATCCAGCTGACTCTCCAGCTTCTCCCGCCTCTCTCGCTCATACTCCAGCTGGGCCTCCAGCTCCCTCACAGCCCTGCCGAAAGCAAACGCAAGGAGTAGGGGGCGAAGCGCATCCCGACCTGCCCTGGCCACTCCACAGCGTCCTGTGCCTTTGCTGAGGAAGGGGTTAGGCACAGCAGAGAGCAGAACTACTCACAGCAGCCCTGCTGGGGTACGCTCCTAGCTCAAACCCTTAGTAACAGCTACGAGGAGCTGGCTCCTCCTTCGCTGTCAGCCGTGCTCCGCGCAGAGTGACCACGAGGTGGAGATGTCTTCCCGCACACCGAGCCTGTCAGCGGGGCCTTGGGCAGGCTGTAACCCAGGTCCCTCTCCAGCTGTGGGCGACGAAGTGCGCAAGGAGCACAAAGATTCGTGTGAGACAGCAAAAAGAATTGAACTGGGATTCTGGAAGGGGCAGGGCCAGCTTTTTCGTTTATGCCTGGTGCCTCTACAGCCTTCCTAGTGATTGGCTTAGCCACAGATGAGGAATATTCAAATGACAGCCCGCACGGAGTCCTGCGTTCTGCTCTGGGGCAACAACACAGGAGGGTCGTGGAGCTGTTGGAGTGAGTTCAGAAGTGGCCCCAAAGATGTTGTGAAGGCTGGAGCAGCTCTGCTCTGGACAGTCTAGCAGAGCTGGGCTGGTTCAACCTGGAGAAGGCTCCAGGGAGACCTTAGAGCAGCTCCAGTGCCTTAAAGGGCTACAAGAAACCTGGAGAGGGGCTTTGGACAAGGGCCTGTAAGGACAGGACAAGGGGAATGGCTTTAACCTGCCAGAGGGGAGACTGAGGTTAGGTATTGAGAGTAAATTCTTCCCTGTGAGGGTGCTGAGGTGCTGGCACAGGGAGCCCAGAGAAGCTGTGGCTGCCCCATCCCTGGCAGTGTTCAAGGCCAGGTTGGAAGGGGCTTGGAGCAAGCTGCTCTAGTGGAAGGTGAACCTGCTCTAGTGGAAGGTGTCCCTGCTCGTGGCAGGAGGTTGGAATTGGATGGGAGTTATCTTCCAACTCAACCGATCTGTGTGATTCTGTGACACTGACTAAAGGGAAACTAAAGCACTGGCTGCTAAACAATTGCACAAGATCTCATCAGTCACACCCACCACGGCTCCTAAATTAACTGAGATTCCTGGAACTGGTTTGCTGAGACATAATTCATGCATATTTTTACTACATAAGATACTGACCTCAGCAACTGAGTCATCTGGAGTTGAGCTGCTCTCCTCTGTATTGGGATGAACTAGCACAGCTACGACCATAAGAGCTTGGTAAAAGGAAAAGGGAGACATCTGCCCTGTGCATTCATAGAAACACAGACTGGTTTGGGGTGGAAAGCACCTTAATATTATGGAGTTCCAACCCCCTGCTATGGGCAGGGACACCTCACATTTTGCCCAAGGCTCTGTCCAAACTGGCCTTGACGGCTGCCAGGGATGGAGCATTTAAATATACTACAGTGGCCTTCCCAAGTGGTAACTCCTGCTTTTCATCCAGCAAAATGGTGTTGTCACTAGTTATTTTGAAGTAATGAGGTTTTCTGCCATATGACACATGCCTCTTGGGATTTATCCACACATGGGTGCCCTGAGAAGGGGAGGTGGGTACACTTGAGAGTGCTATTCCCATTTCCACAGGCCAGTGTGGAGCTAGGGATGTTTTTAGCCTCCACAGGTCAGAGACCCTTCAGAGAGCCCCACAATTTTCCTAGTTTAGCCACACATGCCACAGAAAGCAAAATCCCTTAAAGAGCCTTATCCGAGCCCTCTAACAGGCACTGATAGCTTCTGAGTAGCTGCTCTTTCCAAAACAAACTCTAACTACTGCCACTAGTCAACAGTGACCTTTTCCATCACTGCAGACAGATTGTTCTGACCTTCCAATGCAGCATCAACATCAACCTCCTTAAAGCCAGGAGAGACAAACCTCAAGGAAGATGAAGGATCTCATCCTGAAGTACATGTCAAATTATGCCTGGAAGTGCCTACATCTCTCCAAGTCTAAAGAGGAGCTCAAGGTAACTAACTCGGATGCAGCTATCTACATTGCAGACACATCAAGTCATTTTTGACAGGTAGAGGTGGACACAGGGCTGTCTTTTGGATGCTGTGTTATTGTTAAACCACTAAATCTTTGGTAGACAGAAGGGCTTTTCTTTGAAACTTAGTCTGCCCATCAAATCACCAGTCTGACAGGATGCTTTCATTTAATGGGAGACCCTGAGAATTAGACATTATGAAAAGTGCTTCATGTGCAAGAGCAGGTTTGCTGAGATTTCTGTTTTCTGTGTTCTGGATAAGAGCTAATGCTTTCTTGAGTGCAGAAATATACTGCCCCTGACATGAAAATGTAGCAGGTCATTGAATAATTTCTGCTGGGTATGCACTTCCATCCAAGCCATGCTATAACTAATGCCTTGTGTTAAAGTACATCCATGTATTTGGCATCCTCAGCACAAACAAAACAGCCAGGACTTACCAGACCTACTGCACACATGGTTTTGTACAAAAGGTGTGGGCCCATCAAACACTTCCGTTGTGCTGTGGGGCTGATCCTGGTGGTAGTAGTTTAGAAATGGTCAAATTGCTGAAGTTCATTTCTTTTTGGCCTTTTGGAAGTGGAAAAGGCAGAGTGGGCAAAGTAATCTGAGTGTAAGTTAGCATTAAAGAAAGCTTTAAAATGGACCCCACAGTGTTAAACCTTAACAGGGCAGATTAACCTTACTTCTCAGCTTCCCTTTCTTCTTTCTTCGTCTTCTTTTCCTCTTCAGTTATTCCTCCCAGCTGCCTGTAGTTGCTGTAGGCAATTTCCAGAAGTTGCTGAAGTTCTTGAATCTTATGATAGGCTCTCACTGTAAGACAGTTATTCAGGTAAGTAAAATACATGGAGAAAAGCCATGCTGGTATCCTATCCTCTGGAAAACAGTCTCATAATCACAGAGCAGAAACGACAGTGCTCAGCAAACACTGAGCTACACCTGACACCCACACAGCAAACAGGTCTTAAAACCAAGCAGAATCCAACATGGTTTCACCAATATGGATTCAAACAGCATGAAAATTGTGTTCTGATTGCTTCTTCTGTGCTTTCTGATCTTCCCATTTGTTGTGGTACAGATATCCTGTCAACTGTCTCTCTTTACAAGAGAAAAGACACAGCAGTTGACAGAAACTGTGCAACTAAGGCTATAATGTCTCAAGACCAACTGTTTCAAACAAGGAGTGAAGGGAAAAGTACTTACTGCGCGCATCCCTCTTCTCCGCTTTACCCGGTGTTACATCTGCTTTGCTATCTGTGCTCCCTTCCACACCATGGCTTTCAAAGAACTTTATGTTGTTTGCATCTAGTTCTTCATCACTTGAGTTACTGTCTCCAGTTCTCTGTGTCAGAAGTTCCACAGCTGCCAGTTGGGCAAATCTGCAGGGAGAACAGTGAACCTGCACTGAAATATCCCCATTGCCTGCAAAATGCTTGTGAGAGAAACTCTCTGAAACTCCTCATATTCCCATTTATCATAGAGGGGGTCAGGATTAAAGGAAGCACAAGCTATGAGCAGCTCATCTGCTTTTATAATATTCTGATGGCATGAGCTCTGCCTCCATGGAATCTTATGACAATAACTCCAACATCGGAGGTGTCTTTTCCTTTGCAGGGTTTTGTAATTGAATCCCATAAAAACATGAATTCTTTTTATTCATGCAAAACCTAGGTGGCCTGAGCTGCTTCCCATTTACTTTGTAGAGCAAACTGTGAGCATACTGGTTCACAACCTTTCGCAGGTCAGCTAGTTTCCATCTTTCATGTCTGACCTTGCTAAAATATCTAACTAAAGTGAAAATTAAATCATTTTATAGCTACAGTACAGCTTTGCTTATCACTCAGAACTGGAATACATGGGCCTGATCTGTTCTTGCTCCATCACTGAAAATCAGGATTAATCCCAAGAAAGCTGACATGTTATTGATATATAAATAGTAAGGAAATAAATGGCAGAGCTACAGGATATGGACTGCTACCTCTTGGCTACATCCTTTGGAGTCTCTCCAGCATCATTTGTAATGTCACAGTCAGCTCCCATTTCAATCAACCACTGTAGGCACTGGATCTGCCCCTGTCCAGCAGCTAAGGGAAGGAAGGTGCACATAAGTCAGGTATATTCAACTGAAGCATTTCAAATCTAAAATGTTCTCCTCTTGTCATTATCTGACATGCCAGAGGCTGGGATCACTAGAACACCACAGTGGAGATACTATTGCAAGAGAAGCCTCTATGTCAAGATGCTCAAGTCATACAGAACCATTAGGGAAGCCCATTAAATGTGGTTCTGTGACTCTTTCTAGTTCTAGATATTTACTGGCAGCTCTTCCTGGGCACAAGTTAAATTAAACTTGCCCAATCTCATGCACTAAGCATGAGACACAGAAGTAACTGTTGCCTCAGACTCCCCTGCAGTAAGGCCAGTGTGTGTCTTAGATCTGCAGCAAAGCACCATCACCTCTCTCCAGCTTCGGGCTCCCATCTATCTGGGATGGACAGCCTGGTTACCCCAGTGTGTAATGTTGTCTTATGGAGGAGAGAGGCCAAGGCTTTGTGCTGCAGCTATAGGGACATCATTTCTTGGGCCAGACAGTGAAGGCAAAACTTCTCAGCTTCAGTGTAACACAACAGCTTGGCCTGTTCATATGACCTGGCATGACCGCTGCTCACACCACATGGTGCCAGGAATGGTGTCTCACATACAGAAGAAAGCATTTGGCATGTCTAGCTGAAACCTAGAAGCTGCTTTCTCAAGCTTATTCTTTTGAAGGAAGAATAAATCCATTTCTTCATAACAGCCCCTTGCTATGTTTGTTTACTTCCTGAGAAAGGAAATGAAATTACAGTATCAACCATAGTACTTCCTCGTAACACCAACACTGTATGTAAGACTGGAGATGAAACAGTGGGTTAGCATTCCTCCAAGAAAAGAGGGTAGGAAAGAATATAAAAAACATTTTTTAAATCACTATATATCCATTTATTTTAAGGAAAACTCCAGTTCTGTTTTCCAAAATTCTACCATTTAGATCTAGACAAAAAGAAATAGTGTTAAAAGCATGTTACAAAAATACCTCCCTCTTTCTTTCCTCTTCTATTTCTCCTATTCTCCCTGGAGAAAAGAAGCTGCATGGAAACCTCAGAGCAGTTTCCAGTATCTAAAGGTGGCCTACAGGGATGCTGTAGAGGGACTCTTCATCAGGGACTGTAGTGATAAGACAAGGGGTGATGGGTTTAAACTGAAACAGGAGAAGCTCACGTTAGATATAAGGAACAGATATGGGGAGGCACTGGAACGGGTTGCCCAGGGAAGTGGTAAATGCTCTATCCATGGCAGTGTTCAAGGGAAGGTTGGACAGAGCCTTGGGAGACATGGTTTAGTGTGAGGTGTCCCTGCCCATGGCAGCGGTTGGAACTGGATGATCCTTAGGTCCTTTCCAAGCCAAACCATTCTATGATTCTATGTCTTCTTTCAGACATTATCATGGATCCCCCAGACACAAGAGGACCATTCTGTAATGCTAGCACTCCACTATCAAGGTGGTAGATACCAGAAGTTCACCTTCCTCCCCAGCTCCTACCAAATGACTTTGTTGTGGTTTCTACAGTACTGACATGTTCAGTAAATAAAGGCCCAGGCCACACCACAGACCGTTCTCATACCCAGCTGGCCAGTGTTTCTAGAAGTTTCATCTCTCCTGATTAAAAAGAAACTATGTTGTTTTCATCTTAGATGTTGTTTTTAACATAAACTCTTCTCTCTTGACTTCAGCTTGGGCATGTTGTTTTTAAAGTGACACCTACACACACACACGCATCACCAAATCTGTTTTAGGGGTTGCCCTTTTGAGCCCTCAGGAAATGAGATGCTGTTTTCATGGAGTTTATCTGAGGAGGAGCTGCTTGAAAACCTTCCCCGTGCACAACAACAAACAGCAACAAGCTGAAACACAGATCATAGTTACTGACCTTTGTGCATGAGAGTGGATCCCTCATCATCCCGCTCATTCATATTGATCACTCCACTTCCCACTAATCCTCTAAGTGTTAACAAGTCCCCTTTGGAAGCAGCACCATGAGCTGGGAAAGCTAAAACTGAAAATGAAATGCACATGTTTCCAAACAGATGCCAGTAATCCCACTAAACATGTTCCTATTTGTTTCTCAAGCTTTGTCTCTCTCATATCATATGCATGGGCACTTCATAGCAGGAGTTAGAAAGGTTAATGCACCCTTAAGCAGTTAAAATGCAGCTGCATAACTGGCACCGTTCATCAGAGACCTGACTAAACACGTCTTGGTTATGGCTACAGGCATCTTATACAGTTAAGAGATTCATCTGATAAACCTGAAATAACAAGTACACCTTTGGTTTAGAGTTGCTGTTGTATTACTGGTGGTGACCTGAATAAGTAACCTGCCCATTTTGAATTCCATACCCTAACCAAATATATAAACATTTTTCCTTCTCCTTGCTTAGAAACTATTGAAATTTATAGACAATTTGATTTTTCTACTTATTTTTTACAAATCTCTCCTGGAGTTTAAGAAGAACGTGGCTAACTTGGTATGCATAGTGCAACACAGTGTGACAAGTTTCATTCTGATCGTGGTAAACCTAAGGCATTTATAAAATTCCACTGAGTATTCCAGTCTTTAGCCATCAGGAAGTGTAGGAAGCATTGAAAAGAACAAGGATTAACAATTTCAATGCCTGTTTTAACAGTACCTTGATCCATACTCACCTGCCTGTGTCTCTAGATGCTGTCTCTCTTTTTCCACACCATCAATATACTGCAGGATATTATCTTTATAGAACCGTTCAGCCAAGTCCCTTGGAGTCTCTCCTTGGTCATTCCTGGCTTTCAGTGTGTGCATCACAGTGGCCATTTTACTGACCAAGAACTTGAAGCAATGCAAGTGCCCTTCCACTGCTGCTAGGTGAGCTGTAGAACAAGGTGAAATGAAGTCTGTTAGAGCAGAGCACTGCTGCCCACCAAGAAAGCAGAGCTGTTGGTTAGATCCAGCTCATCTGCTAGCATTTGAGCCATCCAACACCACACAAGTAGGAGCAGCCTCAGCTGAACAGGGGATATTCAGCTCCTTTCCAGGACAGAGTTCAGCCCAGTGCAAAAGAGGTAAAAGAAAGTTGTCAAGGATAGGATCTGCAAAGAAAATTCATGGCAGAGCTAATCCAGGAGACAGCACAACACTGCCAAGAGACCACTGAGCACTTAGGAGAGCACTGCTGGGGTCTCACCTTCCCACCCCACTCTCCAGCAGCTCTCTGCCTTGACTGTGTAGGGATACTCCTTACAGAGGACCAGCAAGAGGGTGTCCTTTATGAGGAGTTAAGGCTGTTTTAGTCCCACCTCTACTGTGCCACTTCAAACAAGCTGCATCACCCCTTCAGTTACCCTGCCAATATAGTGAGGACTGCAACATTCATGTCACTGGGTAAAGTATTTGAAGGTACATCCCATGACAGAGGCTCTTATTCACAGCACTTCTATTGTACATTTGTTTCCTTCAACTGCTGCTGCACTGCAGAAACTGCTTCATCTCACCACAGCAGTGACTGCTTCCCAGGGGGGATAAGTGTTTCCTCCCCTGCCCTTTAGGCTATGCTGTGGTTTAGTATTTATTACTAGATTTCCTTTTAACAAAAGAACACTGTCCATCAGAAAATGGTCTGACAAGGGCCTGTAGTGATAGGACAAGGGGGAATGGCTCTCACCTGGCAGAGAGAAGATTTGGATTAGACATTAGGAAGAAATTCTTCCCTGTGAGGGTGCTGAGGCGCTGGCACAGGGTGCCCAGAGAAGCTGTGGCTGCCCCACCCCTGGCAGTGTTCAAGGCCAGGTTGGACACAGGGGCTTGGAGCAACCTGCTCTAGTGGAAGGTGTCCCTGCCCAGGGTTGGAACTGGATGAGCTTTAAGGTCCCTTCCACCCCAAACATATGCCCAACACAGAACTGTGCCATACCATCCCTCAGGCATGCTGAGCACTTGTAGTCAAGATTAAAGCCAAAAGGTACTGTGATGTTAACACAAAATATGCACCCTAGTGCTGAGAGCTTTCAAAAACCTTGTCCCATGTATCATATATAGGCAGTGGGTACCTGGGCGTTGTTATCTCACCTTCTCTGTGTTCTATCTCACCTTTTACAATCAAACTAACACTATTGGTTCTTCTCAAAGTCACAAGTGAAAAACAGCATCTGTGAAAACCTCAGATGTTGTGCTATGATTAAATTAATATAGTATTTAGAACTGGTTTAACTAGTGAGCAAGAAAAGCAGCATGGATGTGGCCCAAACCAAATACAGAGGGAAACCAAAATGTTGAATTAATTCTGTAGCTGAATGAGCCACACTATTCCCAAAAATCAGCATGCATAGTAACTAAATGCTCCACTATAACACAGACATGCAGAAAGTACAGGCAATTTTTAAGTTTCAGGAATATGGCATTGCAAACTCAGTACATTTCTTTCAGTATTCTCTTAGGAAAGATGATAGCACTGTCCAGTTGAAGCTGAAGTATGCAAAGATGATTTAAATCCACTTTGCTGTTTCACAAGCTGAGGGAAAGCTTGTCTATACAGCACACCACTCCGACTGATCTTTTAGTAGCAGTGTTCCAAAGCATCTTCTTTCCTCTGGATGATAACAGGATCAAATGAAACTGAACAAAGGCTGGAGGATCAAGCCTCTGTAGGTGTTCAAATAACAACAAACCCAATTTTCTACTAACTGGTATATAGAGAGCATTGAAGTAGAACTGGCATTTGCTGTCTCTCCATGAAAGTCTGTTATCAGGGAAGTGTTCCCAAATGCAAAGCTGCCTTCCATGCTGCCACCAGGGTGCCTGACATCATGACCCCTTATAGCTAATACACCAGATGTCCCACTGGGATGCAAGAGCCTCACATCCTTTAACAAGCCCCAGGTTTGCCAAACAGAACATAAAGGTTTACCAGGTATGTGGTGCTTAACAGAGGAGAAAAGCTTTTAGGAAGGGATTTAAAATGATAAATCTATACAAGTTACCGAGAAAACAAAATATGCTGTTTGGAAAAAATAATGGGATAAACCATAAGAAGGAAAATGCTAAAAGGGAAAGGATGGAATGAGAACCCAGGATATGAAGAACAGCATTCAACTTACACAGGATAATGAGGCAGTGACGTGGCAGGCAGAGGAACACCAAAGAAACTCTGAGGAGCAAGGAATAAACAGTGCCCATTTCTTGTGCTAAAGCAACTACACTGATGCTTATGAAAAGGATAGAGATTACAGGCATTCCAGAAATCAAGTTGAAATACAGGTAAATGAGAACAAGGGTTTTACCAAATCAGTTAAGAAAGAGTGGGAAACAAAAACCTACATATGAACATACCAGCACATGATCACTCAGCCATGAAACCCTAGCATGTATTCAAGAAGGAGCATATAGCAGCTGAAACTGCCTCTTGCTCCACCTACCCTTCTCCTCCTGTGACCTCCATTAGCACACGTGTTCCATCACAGGTGCAGGAATGCTGCCCACCCACACAGCCTCCTCCCCATTCCAACACTAGGAGCTCTGATCCTTGCCAGCCACAGCAGGAGGTGAATAGGACAGTCACTGACAGATAAATGCTTGGTATCCTATGAATCCCCCCCATCCTTATGAAAATTGAGTAATGGCATGGAATCATGTAACAACTGCTTCCAGCATGCAGTACATAAGATCTGCTACAACTATCACATAACACAACTGTAAACCAAAGGTTAGACCCCATATGAATTCTCCTGCTATACCTGGAAGGTTTCCATTGTTATCCACATCATCGATACATGCTCCCCATCTAAGGAGAAGCTGCAAACAGCCCAAGCGGCCATGGAAAGCAGCATAATGAACAGGCTTCCAGTCCTTCCTGTCTGAAACATTCACATTCTAAAACGAAAGCAGCAACAGGTTCATTTGTTAATTTATGAATCTTAGTCACAAGACAGATTCTATAAATAGGAATGAGCTGTTCATTGTGTTAAATTATGTAAAGCCAATCACATAGTGTTTTGCAAAGTTAAAGGCCGTGAATGCAGTTCCCATTCCAAAAGAAGCACTTCTTCACAGGTTCTTGGGTTTATTTAAATAAGACACACATTAAAGGTGCATTTTTAGACATGCTTCTATCACTGCATTGGTCCTTATTCCTTAAATATGGGTCTGGATGTCTCCTTTACTATAGATCTGTATAACTGCAAAATAACACAACCACCACAGCACTGATCTTCATTTAATGACATTCTCAGTGGAATGTGGTTTGATCAGATTATTGATTCTTGTTACATTTTTAGATATGGAGGGATAGGACAAGGGGGAACGGCTTTAAACTGACAGAGGGGAGATTTAGATCAGATGGAGGAAGTTCTTCCCTGTGAGGGTGCTGAGGCGCTGGCACAGGGTGCCCAGAGAAGCTGTGGCTGCCCCATCCCTGGCAGTGTTCAAGGCCAGGTTGGACACAGGGGCTTGGAGCAACCTGCTTTAATGGAAGGTGTCCCTGTTTGTGGCAGGGGGTTGGAACTGGATAAGCTTTAAGGTCCCGTCCAACCTAAACCACTCTATGATTTATGATCATTTCCCTAATGTGCCTTACAATAAAAGTGGAAATTTGCCATAAAAATAAATTCACTGACAGTAAATAATCTACAGTTATAAATCTCAGTTTAAGCTAGGAAGGGTTTTGTTTGGAAGGAGATACCACACTTTGGCTGTGTGGTAGGGAACTGCAGGTAAAGGTCTCTCACCACTCCATGTCGCAGTAAGGTCTGCAAGGTGTATGAGTGCCCATGGGCTGCAGCCAAGTGTGAGGGTGTGCACCCACGGTCATCCTGAGCTTCTGCATTTGCTCCATTCACTAACAAAGCCTGAAAGAAATGCAGAGCAGAAGTTCAGTTCCCAAAGCAAACACTGCCTTGCAGGATGACTTGAGATGATCAGCAGGATAACTCTGGACTGACCTCAAGGCCCCAACACTGTACAGAATAAATCTGCTTGCAATGATAGCACATATGAGTGCACTGGTTTTAACAAGGGTGAGTTGATTCCAGATGTAAAGACAGCAAGATCATAGAATCACAGAATTGTTTGGGTTGGAAAGCACCTTAAGATCATCAAGTTCCAAACCCCTACCTTGGGCAGGGACACCTAGACCGTGTCACCCAAGGCTTTGTCCAACCTGACCTTGAACACCCCCAGGGATGGATCATTCACAACTTCCTTGGGCAACCCATTCCAGTGCCTCACCACCCTTATAGTAAAGAACTTCCTCCTTATATCCCACCTGAACTTTCTTTGATAAGAAACAGTTTGAACCTGTTATTCCTTGTCCTGTTGCCACAGTTTCTGATGAAGAGTCCCTCCCCAGCATCCCTGTAGCCCCATTCAGACACTGGAAGGTGCTCTGAGGTCTCCATGCAGCTTCCCTTCTCCAGGCTGAACAGCCCCAACTTTCTCAGCCTGTTTTCATAGGGAGGTGCTCCAGCCCCTGATCATCCTCATGGCTTCCTCTGGACTTGCTCCAACAGCTCCATGTCCTTGCTATGTTGAGGACACCAGAACTGCACACAGTGCTTCAAGTGGGATTTCATGTGAGCAGAGTAGAGGGTCAGGATCACCTCTCTCAGCCTGCTGGTCATGCTCCTTTTGATGCAGCCCAGGATCCTTATGGCTCTATTAGAGCTCTCTCAGTTGATCTTCATAATGAGTTTGTCCAAGTGGCAGCTCTGCCCTGCTTACTTGAGAGTGAATATTTACACATACCTGCATGCAAGCATCCTGACCCCGGATAGCCGCAAGGTGAGCTGCTGTCCAGCCTCCCACAGTCACATGTGTTGTATCAGCTCCATGCCAGAGCAACCAGTGAAGGCACTGCTCAATCCAAACCAAAAGTTTCTACTTAACTATTCTTATCATGCATCTGAAACACGTTTCAACTATAATTAACAGTTGATGTTACATTTCAAAACAGTATCACACTACTTCATTATAGAAACATAACACCCCAGAGCATGCTTTAGTCAGATACTTGTGCATTAGGAAGTTAGAGGCAAGTTGCACTTGGCTTTCACCCAAGAGCAAAAAAGTGGAAACAATCTACTAATTCAGATCCTATCATCGATTTTGCTTCTTAATTTTACTCTTCCAGATTTAAAATATAATCTGTGAGATTATTCCCATGGTAAAAGTGTTGGGAAATAAACAATGCTCACATGCATTCCAGCTAAAATTACTGGCAAGAAAAACACCATGAGCCAAATTTAAAGCCTCACTTAACTTATTAGGATCATTCAGTGTACATAATCCCACTCTCTTCTCATCCTTCCAGAGCCTAGTTTTGTTTTGTTCACTTTTTTCCAGCAGACACTATTGCTTGCAACTGAAAGCTATCCAAACGGACTATCCAAAACCAGCTAGAGGACCAGTAAGCTTTTTATTACATATTATGATGATTTATTATCTTCTTTGAAGTCAGCCTACAGCTGATTCCTCCACTGTTTCCACCAAGGAGCTTAGCAACAAATAGATGACAGATAATTCAATAAAATCTAATACACTGACTGCAAAGTAGGAGAATCAGATGAAAAATGACAGTTTACAGAGGCAGAAAAGGGTGGGTAAGCAATATATTTTGGGGGATGACAACATGATGATCAGTATTTGCTTGTCAGTTTCTGTAAATTCCAGAAAGAGCCCTGCACTTATTCCTTGAGTTTAGCAACAACTTTACATTCTTTGCTCTAGGACATGAATGTTTATATGGTTCTTCTTGTTGCATCAAGGTTAGATTCCTATAAAGAATATACGAGGAGGCTGTGACAAGAGGGTGAATGCTGTGCTCAATACAGCAGTTTAGTCCTTCTGGATGTTCAAATCACTCATTCAAGCATCTGCTGATTTCGCCATCAATATTCAAACATGGCATTTATGAAAGTAAAATATATTAAGAGTATTTCTATAGAGAATGAGGCACATTGGTAGACAGAATGAACATGTTTTCATGTCACTTCTCAGCTGTTTCAATCACCTTCTGAACATTTTACACACACTACAGGACCTCCTCAGTGTCCCAAGAGAAGGGGAAAACACAACAGGAGCAAAAGGCGGCCATGAGCCTGGAACTGAGGCTATAAGGCACATTTTGCTCACAGTAAGAAAATCACTGATTTTGAAAAATCTGGCAATGCTGACTACCTAAACTGCCTGGGGCTTCAGAAAGGGAAAATGAAAACCTAAAATGCTGTATTTCTCTTCTTTCATGAGAAAAACAGGCAGAGGTGATTGCTTCAGCTTGATCAAAGCTAGCAGCTCTATGTCCAGCCTCCCCCAAAGAAGGAAAACAGGAACTTGCAGTGTCTGAACACTAAGGTCATGTTTTACCTCCAGGCTTCCAGAGTGGGCAGCACAGTGCAGCGGTGTGAATTTGTGGACTAAATCCACCTCATTAATACCAGCTCCACTTCTTATCATTGACGCAAGCTGTTCCACATCCCCAGCTTTCACTGCCTCATGCACACTACTGTACTTTGTCTTCTTCTTGGCAGCTACTGAGGAATAATAAAAGGGCATTAGTCAGTTCAGCAACATTTAAGAGGTAGGAAATAAGTGATGACTCAAAGAAACATCAAGGTGTCAGCTTCAGTGTTCGGAGTAACATATGAGATTGAGATTCATGTCAGCAGGAATACAAAGTCATTCCTTTCTGTCAGAAACAGAGCAGTGTGCAAACCCCTGAGACAGACATGCCTCCTTCAGCCCCTAAAAGGGCCCAAAAGAGTAAGAACCAGAGAAAAGATAACAGGAAGCACAACAAGAGCAGGAAGCAGAGCTACTCCATCTATGGACACAAATGCTCTCTTCCCAAACTGCGGGCATCACAGACTCTGGCATTAATCACATTTTCAAGTACAACACCAGGCAGGCTTCTCACTTGGGCAAATAAGCTTTCAGCTTTCATTTCCCACGTGTTCCGCATGGCCACGTTCCTGCTGCTGCCTGCCTAAGGACTTGGCACAGCATGGAATGCCACAAGGGAGGCTTCACCAAGTGAGCAGACCATGTAACTGCTACATGGGTCAGGTTCAGGACAACCTGAGGTCAAAACTGAAGCTGCTGTGGAAAAGCAGCTCTTTTATACAATGTGTTATTCACCCTGTGCTGCTCCCTTGCTAAACTACAGCGCTGTTCTGTCACTGCTCACTTTGTCAGCAGCTGCTACCAAAGTCAATAACATTTTCACTGACCTCAGTGGCACAGATTCAAACTCTAAATGTAGAAGCAACGGGGTCAAAGGAACACCAAACAATCCATCACCAAGCCATGAGATTAAACAACCCGTGCTCTCCTTTAGGCTTCTCCACTAATTAACTATGTGACTGGAAACAATGGGAGTTACATATCCAAGATCCCTTGCAATAACTTGATACCTTGCCAAAACTTGTAAAGAGGAATATGGGATGTAAGTAGATCTGATGGCTGAGGAGGCTAACTTCAGAGAGCCAAGCATGAGAGAGAATAAACTAAAAGTTAGTGTTCACCTTCTACAGTAGCCATCGTTACAGGATGAAAATGCACCGATTGGATTTCTCGCTGTTGAAGAGGTGGGCTACTGTTCTCAAGTCAAGCAAGCATGAAAATGTAAGTCTTAAGAAGTATCTGTGCCTCAGTTTCTCTGCCTGTGGAGAAGAAATGGTGGCAGTAAAAATTGTTACGCAATTTGACATAAAAATATTAAAGAATATAAATGAGATACTGCATGGACGTGGAGTCATAGAACGGTGTGGGTTGAGAGACCTTAAAGCTTATCCAGTTCCAGCCCCCTGCCACTAGACTAGGCTGCTCCAAGCCACATCCAACCTGGCATGTTCGTGATATACGCAGATTATAATAGAATTTTAATACAATTAAAAACAGCATTTGCCATTTACCAGTGTCTATTTTAATTTAATCAGTAGTGTGCCAGCAGTGCTCAGTGACAGCAGTGCTCAGCGATAGCAGTGCTCAGGCAGATTTGGGGTTGCCACAGAGAGGAAGAGAGGGCAGAAGCTGTTTCATCACCCCAGGCTGCCAGTAACACTGCTCGATCTGGTGGCTGTGCATCGCTGCGCTTCCACCTCCCCCTGCTCGGCAGGCTCTGCTTCCGTTAGGAGCCAGGACTCCATCCTGCAAAACACTGTCTGGACAAACAGCACCAGCATAGAAACACCGGATAATTCAGGTTGGAAGCGACCTCAGGAGGTCACCTGGTTCACGTTTGTGAATAATATGAAAGTATATTTTGTAGTTTGAGTTGTTTTTAAAAGAGGCAACGCCACCAGGACATAGGTTCCCCACAAGGGAGCAATTTCTCTTCATGTCAAGGGAGGGCTACAGGCTTCAGTGCAACGACACACTCACATCAGGGGAGGATATGGCCAATTCCAGCGCTTGCCAAAGTACTGATGTTTAACACAGTGTTCCAGCACAAGTTCAAGGTTATCCTCTGTGTTTCCAAACCGAGAACAAAAGCCAAGGAAGAGCCTTGCCAACAGAGGGAAGCTTGTCTCCCTTCTCCCTCTGGAGACCTACAGCGTGTGGAGATGGATGCCAAGCGCTGCTGCGTGGCTCCTGGCACAGCCCAAGGGGAGCTCCCCTGGGACTGAGGTTCAGCAAACAGCTGCTAACATTAATTCTGTGAGAAATACGGTCATTTTGAAAGCGAAATTACTGGTTCCCTAATTTTAGTGCAACTTCCCGTCAAAACTGTTATCAGATGCTCAAAGGAGGAAACTAGAATTAAGGAAGCATTCTGAGATGACCAGCTACCCAAAACTCAACTAAAGGAATCGAGTGAAGGAGAATATGGCTCACAACAGGGGAAGGAAGCAACTTCGTGCTTTCCACTGTTTCTGAGCACACAAACCCACCCTGTGCAGCCCCAGGGGGACGAGGGGGGCTGGCTGCAGGCAAAGACTGCTGCTACGCTGCCGCTACACCACCGTTACACTGCCCTTCCTCGCCTGCTCGGAGAATATCGAGCAATCCCGGTGTTCGGGGGGGGGGTCCCGGGTCAATGGGGTGGGTTTCGGTCGAGGGACCGCAGGGCCCCGTCCCGCGGGGCGGTCCCCTCATGGCTGCCCGCAGCCCTCAGGGAAGGGAAGCGGGGAAGAGTCTCACCGGGCGGGGACATGGCGGCCCCTCACAGCAGAAGCGGCCGCACTCTCCGTACCCTCCTCCTCGCAGCTCCCGACGCCGCTGAGGGGTTGCTATGGGCACGGTTATGGGCACAGCGGGCGCTCCCCGAGGGAGGAAAATGGCGGGCGGCCCGGCCATGGTGCCTGAGGGGAGACGGGAGCCCGCCCGCCTTCAGGGAGGCAGGGAGGCAGCGGGGTCCGTCTGTGTGAGCGGCCATGGGGGTGCCTGCGGGCGGCGGCAGCGCATGAGGGGAAGGACTTGCACTGCCGGGTGCAAGGCTTTAGGGCAGCCCCAGTGTTTTCATGGCACTCCCCAGCGAGAAGTGTAAGGTAAGGGTCCATTCTTACCTCCGAACCACCAAGAGGTATTTAACCTGTTCATGCAGGATAGTCATGCTGTCACGATTTGTACATCTTTAACCTTCTCTCTGCACTGACACATTGACAGGGTGCAAGGGGATGTTTTTTCCTTGCGTTTCCACAGTCCTGCTTCCAGGCAGGATGAACCCTTCCCAGTTGGATTTACAGTAAACATTGTTAATTACATGGACCAAGTAAAATCCATTTAGAGCTTTATTATCCTCATTGTGAAGTTGCCACAAATCCTCTTGCTGCAACTTAGATGTCCCTCTTCTGTCCCTAGCAGACTGAGTAACGCATTCCCCTTTTCTAACAGCCTTCAAACATCGGAAGACATCAATCACATCTCTGCTCAGTCTGCGCTGAGTTTGTGGGACTTACAAATTAAGTCTTCCAGGACATGAAGTGTTGGAGCAAGTAACAGAGGAGTAACTCACCACAGCACAGCCCACAGCCCACCAGGACTGACTTACACCCATCAACCTCATGGAAGTATTCTTGCTCCTCTAGCTTTTCTCTAAAGCTATTTTTAAGGTTGACATCTAACAGGGCACTCACAAATATAGCTACAGCCTTAATATGAGTCAAGGAATTACATCTTAAACTGCTTGAAGATGGGAAGAAGTTGTGAAGATGGGAAGAAGTCGCAGCCAACAGCAAAACCACCTTCGCAGCCCGTACATTATGCACCAAGAGCAAGTTCTGATCTCCCAACCACCCTCACTGCAAGAGTAATACCCTTAGACTGTGGTACTGCTCTTATTACTGCTTGTGTCTTGCTCCCAGCACTCCACAAATACACACGTGGCAGAACAAATACAACATGAAATGCACACAGCTGGATGATTACTTCCACTCCCCCACAAACCCAGTTTTGAAAGGAAGAGACACTCAAACATATGCTTAATTATATTTATTACATTTAAGAAATATTAACATCTCAGGATATCTGGTTTACCATCTAAGTCCAGTCATAAGCAACAAAAAGAAAAGTGTTAACCATGTTTCAAATGAGCATTCTTACATTCATTCCCCCCCCCCGCCCCGTAACGTAAAGAAAAGTGTTCAGCTGTATTAAATTCTTAGGTGGTTGACTAATGGAAGAAAAAAGAATCATTAAAAGTGTCTTAACTACCAGGCATCCTGGTTTGTTAAGTGGTTGTTGGCACTTGTGTTCACAATCAAGCACTCTGGTTGCTTTGTTATATTCTCCCCTTCCACCCAAAACTTGTGGTTTTTGGTTATTTTTTAGGGTTTTTTTAATTTTTTTTTATTTCTATCTGGATATGTAAGTTTGTTCAAATAAGTTTAGAAAGAAAAGAAACCTCGGGTTGCCTGTGAGACGTTCCTGCACTGTGTCCCCACCTCTGTGAGAAATTCCTATCACCTGTGGCATAACTGAAGGAAGATGATTTGCTTTCTGAATCTTACTGAGCCAAAAGTTCTCGTGTTAAGTTCATTTCAACTGAAAAAAGTACAGAAACGCTGTCTCCGTTTGATGGTGTGCATAAACGTTACACTCCCATATATAGCAAAAATAGCTTTTATTTATAATTTATATTTCCACAAGTGAAAATTGTACATTTTTTACATAGACCATTTCATTCCATTTCATTTTTCACGCATCGACAGAACTTTCACACAATGACACCTGAAACTGTGCAGGCAAGAAATTCAAATACAAAAATGTATTTATTAACCAAGCAGTAGTTTGAGGCCCTGCCTCAGTTGAACATTTTTATTTCATATAAAAAGTATTTGCCTTCCAGAGATAACACAGCAGCTCTTCTGTAAAAAAAAAGTATGTTCATACCTCAAGTGTATTTAAACAGACTCATCAGGTTCTGTCTTTATGTCTGTAGATGCAGGTGTGCTGCTCTCTTCTGCACAGGCAGGAGGGGTGTCGTCAGGTTCTTCTTTCACTTTAGGTGACTCACAGGGCTCTTCTGTTTCTTGCTTAACAATGTCCAACATTATATTTAATGGGTTTTCTACAGGGGTCTTGCTGGGAGATGGCGTGCAATCGAAGGATGATGTCTGCAATGCCAAAGTCAAAGCAGTATTAACACACATTACAGGAAGAATTTTTAGCTCCTTACCCCTTTTACTCTTTCAAAACATAAATGCATTGATGGTCAGGCACTCAAAACCCAAACTTCTATTTGATCAAGATCCTCAGAAAACAAATTTACCGTTTTAATGGCATTACTTTTCACAATTCCTTTGAAACAGTGTCATCCAATCAGTGGTGAAATGCTTAACACACTACCATAAACTACTCCTTGCCTCCCCCAAGGGAACTCTGACTCCCAGAACACAACACACTGTAACACCCATCTATTCCGTTTTTGCAAATTCCTCAGATTACATGTGTTACTTGACAAATGCAGGATGTGGTTTCAAACGATGGTTTCACTTCAGTCGTGTACAACACAAGCTGTCACGGCACACTGCAACACGAAATACATCCTGGCTAATTCTGTATTACAAACATGCCATGCAAGCCTTGGACAAGAGAAATGGGTAGCTCTGAATGCATCTGCTCCCTGCAAAGGCAGAGCTCCAGCAAACAAAGTGAAAGCCAAATGCTTCAAAAACCATGAAGAAGGATTCACTTACGTTTTGGTAATCTTCGTAGCAAGATGGATGGTAAATCTGAAAGAGAATGGTTAGATATTTAATTACAGCAGGATGATTGGTTACATACAGAACAATGTCAGTTACACATCATCACACAACAGTGCAAGCAGGCAAAGTATGGCATCAAAGACGACTGGGAAATGATTCTGTATTTATTTAGGGCAAATTATAATACAGGAACCTGGTTAAGTGCTGGGAATTATCTTATACAGCTGCATACAGAAATAAATGAACCAATTATCTACACCTATATAGAAAGATGTCAATTTTCCCTTCAGCACAGCAGTGTAAGGGAAGGCCAATGAGGCTACACTAATGCCGTCAGGACTTCATGCACTTCCAAGGGCTGGGATATTTATGTACCTGGAAGCCTGGAAAACTACCATGGGAACCCCCAGGAGAAACAGAGCCTTTAGAATCACAGGATCACAGAATGGTTTGGGTTGGAAAGGACCTTAAGTTCATCTAGTTCCAAGGCCTTGCCATGGGCAAGGACACCTCACACTAGACCATGTCACCCAAGGCTACATCCAGCCTGGCCTTGAACACTAACAGGGATGGAACATTTAGTACTAAACCCCTTGGCTTTCTCTTTCTTTGCTGTAATTCTGTGGGGTTTTACTATAAATATCACATGTGAGTACAATCAGATTACCTTCTCATCTACTCTAATAGCATTCTTCAGGTGCCACTCTTCCTCTTCCTCATCCCAGTATTGTTCAAACTGCTCTTGGCAGATTTCACAGCTCTGAAAAGTTAATACACAGTAACAGAAATAAATGACATTATTCCAACACCTTACTGGAACACACGAACTTCAGAAACCTAGTGACAGGCAAATAAGGGTCTTTTAAATACATTCAGACTACACCATGATCTGTCTTCCACACTTTAGAAAACATGAATTAGAAGTTATTTGAGTATAGTTCGCACATCAGCATCTGGCCCTGACAACTGCTGTCACTTGAGAAAGGGGAGTTTTGCCCTTTGAAGCCAGGAAGTCTAAGCACAACGTTTCATAACAATATAATGCTGGTTTACTGACATATAAAGACAACCTAGCACAGGGATTTAATACTATTTATGGCATTATATTCACTCTTCTCCTTAACCTGGAGCCTCAGGCTAAAAAAAACAGGCTATTTAAATGAAGTATTAACATTTTTCATACTTCTGTGTAAAATAATCAAACTGGAGAGCAAAGCACAGAAGGTACTTTTAACTCAGAACAAAGGCCTTCATTACCTGATAGCTAGTTGTAACAATATTTGTACTTGATTCGCCTACCAAATTTGTACCAATTCACCTACCAAAATACAGCTCTACAAGTGACGCTGAGATGTTTCTTTGTCCTAATGCTTATTTTCCACCAAAACAGAAATTCTGTGTAAAAGTATCAAAACCCAGTAAGCCCGATTTGAATGGCAAAGGACCATTTCCAGTTCACCTGCTCCAGTTTCTCTACAGAAACATCCATCAAATTAACACAGTCTGCCCATTTCAATGGATTGCTGAGGGGCGTAGATTTTACTGAACTGCAGGAGATTTACACTGCTATCCACGCCTGGGAAACAACCATTACACACACAAAAATACACCACCTGTGAGGTGGCTGCACAGATGCAAGAACAAGACTTCAGTCTACATAGAATCATAGAATGGTTAGGGTTGGAAAGGACCGTAAGATCATCAAGTTCCAACCCCCCTGCCATGGGCAGGGACACCTCACACTAAACCGTATCACCCAAGGCCTTGTCCAACTTGGTCTTGAACCTGTCAGGGACGGAGCATTCACAACCTCTCTGGGCAACCCATTCCAGTGCCTCACCACCCTAACAGGAAAGAATTTTCTCCTTTTATCCAATCTAAACTTCCCCTGTTTAAGTTTTAATCCATTACCCCTTGTCCTATCACTTCAGTCCCTAATGAAGAGTCCCTCCCCAGCACCCCTATAGGCCCCCTTCAGATACTGGAAGGCTGCTATGAGGTCTCCACGCAGCCTTCTCTTCTCCAGGCTGAACAGCCCCAACTTTCTCAGCCTATCTTCATATGGGAGGTGCTCCAGTCCCCTGATCATCCTCATGGCGCTTTCTGGACTTGTTCCAACAGTTCTGTGTTCTTTTTATGCTGAGGACACAAGAACTGCACACAATACTCCAAGTGAAGTCTCACGAGAGCAGAGAAAACGGGCAGGATCACCTCCTTCGACCTGCTGGTCACACTCCTTTTGATGCAGCCCAGGATACGGTTGGCTTTCTGGGCTGCAAGCGCACACTGAAGCCGGCTCATGTTCATTTTCTCATCGAACAACACCCCCAAGTCCTTCTCCGCAGGGCTGTTCTGAATTTCTTCTCTGCCCAACCTGAAGCTGTGCCTGGGACTGCTCCGAACAGGTGTAGGGAAACAATGTTCTTATCTGAACTAATAAAACACAAGCTGAAGCTTACCTCAACTGCTCCAGCAGGTCCTGCAGGAACACTCTGAAATTCCTTCTCTTTCGCAGCTTCTTGTGTCTTCAGCACAACCTCTTCATGAGCTTTTTCAAAGAACTGGCTCTTTGCACGCTCCTCGAGGTCAGCTATTTCCTCAAATTCAATCCAGTCCTAAGGAAGAAGGTTTCATTCACAGTCAGACTCTGACAAATAGCCAGAAATGGCTAAACAATAAGGGAATAAAAAAAGAGCAACAACCAAAAGATATCCCCCAAATACCATAATTCAGTGAATTCTCATCAGAGCTGCAGTGCTCCCCACATGCAGCACGAGCACAGTGGGTGCTTTTTCACAATGTCACACTTGTCAGTGCGATGAGAACAGCACCACTGGCCTCACACTGGTTACTGTTCGTCACACAATTCCCTTTTGTGTTTCAACAGGCATTTGAGAACTACTTGAAATATCTAAGACGTTGTTTACCACAGGCCAACTTGTGTGATGATGCAGATATCAACTGCAATACTACAGCCCATACATAAGCAAAACACAGAATCCAGCCTCTAATTTATCAAGCCACACATTGCACTACTTACTGTTAAACTGTAGTACCATCTTCTATGTGTGATTTTTCTGCTAACATCTTTTTCTGTCCGGTTCTGACGATAATGCCAATCCAAATGATCCGCATAAACATCTGTCTGTGAAGTGGTGAATCTCATTCCACACGAGTAACACTGAATTCCAGTGTACAGACGATTTATAACGCTATCATAGCGCCTACAGAAAGAGGTGGAGAAGAATTCCTAACATTTCTTTGAAAAGACGCAGGTAAGAAGTTGCTCAGTAAGTTGCTCATATGTCCACAAGAGAAAAAACATGAATCTACTGCACAGCCAAAGCACACATGTAGATAAATTCTTCCTCATGTTCACAGCACAACCAACTGGAACATTCCAATAAACAAATATTAACCCCTTATTATCATATGAGAAGCTTTCTAGTGTTGTGTTTCGTGTCTACTAGTTTCATCAGCTAATAGTGCATAAAATCCCTAAAGCCTAAATTTGGCTCAGCTTTGCAAACTACTGCAAAGGTGGTAAAATTAACAGTCATGCAGGAAGTTACAGCGAGATGACAGGAGGGCCTCAAAGATGCTCTGATGACTGGAGCACCTCTGCTCTGGACAGTCTAGGAGAGCTTGGCTGGGTCAGCCTGGACAAGAGAAGGCTCCTGAAGGGGAGACCTTAGAGCAGCTCCAGTGCCTAAAGGGGCTGCAGGAAACCTGGAGAGGGGCTTTGGACAAGGGCCTGTAGGGACAGGACAAGGGGAATGAATGGCTTGAACCTGCCAGAGGGGAGACTGAGACGAGCTCTTAGGCAGAAGCTCTTCCCTGTGAGGGTGCTGAGGTGCTGGCACAGGGTGCCCAGAGAAGCTGCAGCTGCCCCATCCCTGGTTCAAGACCAGGTTGGATGGGGCTTGGAGCAAGCTGCTCTAGTGGAAGGTGTCCCTGCTCGTGGCAGGGGGTTAGGTGAACTCTAAGGTCCTTTCCAACTCTAGCCGTTGTATGATTCTCTGTATCATCACAACCTTACAAAGTAACAACATGCAACCTGTGTAAAGATAGCTTTTCCCAGGTTAATTTTCCATCTTTGTCCTCTCTCAAATTCTCTCAGGCCACTATAACCTGCAGGTCCTCTCAGTCACAAAATGACATAGAATCTTTCAAAAGCTCTCAGCTGTCTTGGATTAACTATCTTAGGTACACCTATGTCATTCACTGTTACTGCACTGTAGACTCGTTCTACTATACTCACTGTCTTAGTTCTTCAACAGTGAAGTTTGTGAGGTCTGGGACATTTTGATCTTCATTCTGGTCATCATCCTCCTCTTCAGCAGCAGGCTGGGCTGATCCTTCATTCACTTCTAGACAGCATAAAAGATATTTTACCAAAATTTCAGCACATCATCAGAAAGAAGTGACGTGCTCCTGACAGCTATCTTTACTCAACTGTTAACAAATACAATGTCACTATGCTAAAATACACATGCGCAATAGCCAAGTCAATCGTCTTCTAACATCATTAACATAAATAAAGCATACGAAAAACTACAAGCTACTCAGAATTTCAAGTCAAAAAAATAGATACTAGCAGTTTACTCTATCACACACTCTAAATCCCTTCCCAAAACCAAAGTTCAGTTTAAAAAACCATGCAGGAGTTCACAACAGCTCTAATACTTCGCTTTATACTTCAGTTGTGGATAGGCTGAGTAGTTAGAAGTTAGTTAGTAGTTAGAGTGGATGGATCTACATACGTGCTGAAGTGGAGTCAGTTTTTGACAGTTTGAGGATCCCTGTTTTCAGCAGTTTAGCAAACAGCTCATTGACATCAACCTGCCCAAGGTGGTTATCAGGGTATGAATGTGGAACGGCTCCTGGGAAAAAACATCAACATTCAAGGAGACAGGAAGTTGCATCAGAAAAATCACTTTCAGCTGCATGTTTCAAAACACACTTTTCCTTCAGCCCCTTGTTTCTTCCTTTTTTATTCCAAATTATTTATCAACTCTCTTTGCTTTATCCCTAATCCTTGGCTAATTTCTTCCTCCACAGCAGAAGTGCTATTTAAGCTTGCTGCCCATACAGAGATTCCTACTGGACAGTGGTTACTGAAATGCAGCATTTTCTTTATTTAATGCTTAAATATTTCACCAACACCAATCCACTTCATCCCCTACTTGAACTATTTCTGACTTTTAAAAATCTTTTCATTACTGACCACTCATGCACCCATACAGATTGGGGCTTTCCAGAAAAGCAGACAAAATGTATTCATTTTCTCTTTTTCTTTAAGCACAACTACATACCAAACCCACACAGGAATGAGAACTAGTGAAAGCCTTCACTCTTTGAGGGAAACCCCTGAAAAGATGAAGGTACTATAGAAACCCCATCCACAGACACCTCACTGAGGAGGCTTCCCTCCATCCACACAGACCTTGTACTGTGGAACATTATCAAAGGGTCATTTTTGTGGCCATCAACACAATAATCCAAGAGAAAGAAAAGGAAGATCACTGGTTTTGTTACCCACCTGCAGGGTTCTGAACAAAACCTCCAGGATTTGGCAAATACTGTTGACCTTGGCCATAAGGCCCTCCTTGAGCAGACATGAGAGAAACCTGTGAAAGGCAGCATTGAAGTAGTTTGTGTACAATTTGAAGTTTCCTTTTTATAATTTTATCATTAAGATCTCAATATTTCTCAGTATTTTCATACACGTTAAATTCCTTCTAAAGTCAGTTTGGTATCGAAAGGTCCACAAATGACAACATAAACTTTGCCTCACTTTCACTACAGAAGTATCAGGAACACTTACTCACTTTGCCTAACATTTACATTAGAACAAACCAAAAACCCCACCCAAACCAAACAAGAAACTCCAAACAAAGCCCAAACCAAACCAAAATCCCCCAAACACCATTTCTTGTAGAGCCATGAGCCTTCAATCCCATTTTCCAAACAGTTCTTCCTTTTAAATTGTTCCTGTCCACCAAAAGAAAGCTCATCACAAAGAAATTAAAGAAATCAATAAGGGCCTATTAACAAATGCCAGGATCAGTTCTGATCTAAGAACTGAAACAGCATTCACTATATGACACATACGAAAGCAGAACTCTTACAGCAAACCAGCCACAGTGATCTTCAGGTAGAAAAACAGGTTTTATAACATCCTTGTAATAAAATTGGGGTGTTTTCCCCCCAGCTGGGTGCTTTCTGCATTTACAAGTTCTTTAAAATCTCACTGCATTAGAGGTTAGCAGGACACGTCACCTGCTTTCACACAGTAACTTAACTTTTCATGTTCCATTATTATCCCCAAAAGAAAAATGCTTTAAAATCTCTCCTCTCCTGAAACAACATTGTTTCCACTTGTTATTTTCCCCTGTTGAAGAGAGCGTTTCAAACAGGGGCCTCAGCAAAGACAACTGAGCTTTTAAAGCATGCTGGTGCCAAGTGAATTTTAGAAGACTATAGTTCAGCAATCACAGAATCATAGAATTATCTGGGTTGGAAGGGACCTTAAAGTTCATCCAGTTCCAACCCCCTGCAACGGGCAGGGACACCTTCCACTAGAGCAGGTTGCTCCAAGCCCTGTCTAGCCTGGCCCTGAACACTGCCAGGTGCCACAGCTTCTCTGGGCACCCTGTGCCAGCACCTCAGCACTCTCATAAGGAAGAACTTCTTTATATATAACCCGAACTTCTGTTTCAGTTTAAACCCATCACCCCTTGTCCTATGTCTACAGTTCCTGACGAACAGGACCTCTCCAGCATCCTTGCAGGCTCCCTTCAGATACTGGAAGCTGCTCTGAAGTCTCCAAGCAGCTTCTCCAGGCTGAACAATGTCTGCTCTTTCTTAATTCACCCCAGTTATATGTATCTCTTTAAACCTGCTTGTCACCAGTACCAACAACTGCAAAGAGACAACGGAATTTTGTCCATTCCAGTTCTATACCTCTTAGAAAATGGTGTACATTCAGTTACATTGTAACAGCTTCCAATGCCTAAAGGGTGTTGGAACAGGAAAGCTGGACAGGGACTGGAGAAGGGAGAATGGCTTTAATCTGACAGAGGGGAGACTGAGATGAGACATTAGGTAGAAGCTCTTCCCTGTGAGGGTGCTGAGGCGCTGGCACGGGGTGCTCAGAGAAGCTGTGGCTGCCCTGTCCCTGGCAGTTTTCAAGGCCAGGTTGGACACAGGGGCTTGGAGCAACCTGCTCTAGTGGAAGGGGTCCCTGCCTGTGGCAGGGGCTTGGAACTGGATGAGCTTTAAGGTCCTTTCCAACGCAACCCATTCTATAATCCCAATGTTATTTTTTAATGCTTTATACAGAATTTACTTTTGTGCAAGTATAATAAGATACCACAGGCTTCTAATTACCTCATTTTTCCATTTAGAAATACTAATTTCACTGTCATATTCTGAGCTATGAAGTGATTGTAAAGATCCAGTATTTGCTTTAATTCTTAAAAATAGATTATTCAAAAATAGCACTGCATGTCCTTCTTAAATTATCTAGAACCTACGGAAGCAGGATGACTCTCAGCTTTAAACTGGCTCTCATTCCACCAGCTCTTTAGGAGAACCTTCCAATTTTTAGAGGAAGAAAAACCTGCTAATTCTCTACACAGGAAGAGTCCACAAGCAAACCATCAGCTCTTACCTGACTACTTCCCATTGGCATGTTATTGAAGTTTCCATACTGAGGACCTTGAAGCCCTTTTTCTTCAAAGTAATGCCCAGCTGCTCGCAGTGGGAAGTTCTGTGCTCCAGGCCCAGCTGGCCCATTGAAATTTGGTCCAGGTGAACCATCAAAGAGATCAGGTCTCTGGAACTGCATCCCATGAGATGGTCCATTGTAGCCATGGCCAGGATGGTCAACAAATGGACCACCCTGTCCATATGGTGACAGTTCTAGTCTTGAGGCAGGATGGTTAGCTACATTTTCAAAGCGTGAACCTTGAAGGCCAAGTGGCAAATCAAACCTAGAGGCTGGCTGGTGAGGTCCATCAAATCTTTGAGGTATGGCTGTATCAAAACGTGGTTGTGCCTGTTGGCCAGGAGCCCTTTCAAATCTTGGACCAGGTGCTCCATGGATTCCATCAAATCTTTGTAACAAAGACAACTGTCCAGGCTGACCATCGAATCCAGCTGCGTGACAACCATCAAACCTCGGGCCAGCCCGACCCAAAGGACCATCAAATCTAAGTCCAGCTCCCTGGTGTATTGGTCCATCAATCAACCTAGGACCTACACCTGGTCCTTCCAATCTGAGCCCACCACCTGATGGTCCATGTGGCCCATCAAATCGGAGTCCACCACCTGATGGTCCATGGGGCCCCATGGGCCCCTCAAATCTGAGGCCACCTCCAGGTTGACCATGGGGCCCCAATGGCTGTAAATGTGGCCCCTCAAACCTGAGGCCACCCCCTGGTTGACGATGAGGCCCCAAGGGCTGACCATGGGGTCCCTCAAACCTGAGACCACCCCCTGGTTGACCTCGAGGCCCCATAGGTTGACCATGAGGTCCCTCAAACCTGAGACCACCTGAAGGCTGACCACGGGGACCCTCAAACCTGAGGCCAACTCCTGGTCCTTCAAATCTAGGACCACCTGCAGGCCCCTCAAAGCGCAGTGGCCCACCTATCTGCCCAAGAGGGCCCTCAAATCTCAATGGACCTCCTCCAGCACCCTGTCCTGGAGGTCCTTCAAACCTCAGGGCCCCTGCCAGCTGCCCTGGTGGCCCATCAAATCTTAGGGCTCCAGCTCCCCCTGCTCCTGCCAGCGGTCCATCAAATTGAGATGCACCCGCTCCCACCAAAGGCCCCTCAAATCTCAGAGCAGCCTGTCCAGGTGGCCCATCAATTCTGGAACTCGCCGCAGCAGCAGAAGCATCACCAAAAGGGCTTCCTTGTCCATCTACTCCAACCCTTGCAGCAGCCTGTCTAGGTGAGCCATCAAATAGAGGTCTCTCTTCCATCAGTGCACTTATCCTCTGCTTTGCTTCAATGCCTCCAAATCTCGATCCTGGACTTTCTGGAAATGGTGCTTTCTCTGGATCTTCAAACCTAGCTCTTTTAAAACGTTCACTGAACGGTGATCTTGGCTCCTCTCGAACACCTAAAAAACCCAGAGCAAACCAGGTAAGTAACTAGCAGTATGTTACTGAGCATTTAAGCGATGTAAACTAAAGGAAAATCACACACCAGCTTGCCCAAGAAGTTGTCTTTCCTCACGATTATCGAATCTGCAGACTGCATCACCATCTATTTTCTGGAACTCTGTGGATGTGCTTTTCCCCTGCTGTCTCAGAGCATCTCTGAATTCCTCTGATTCTCCCCAGCTATCATAAGGATCAAAGTTCTTAGAACCTCTTGCTGCCTTAGTAGCATTCTGTTCCTCAAGTCTTCGTCGACCCTCAAGTGGTGAGAGGTTATCAGCAAAAGGTCTGTTAGTGCCACTTACAGGAGAGTGTCTCCTCGCTCTCTCCCCAAATGGCTCTTTCCTATCGAACTGTACTCCACGCTTGGCTTTTGCTTGCTCACACTCTATTCCAGAAAGCAATGCATCAGGTAAATGATAATCCAGAATATCATCAGGATCCAACAGATCAAGCCTTGACAAGGAATGCTGAACTTGAGTTCTTTTCAGTTTAGCTTTATGTTCGTAATATGTTAACTCTGCATCTGACAGAAGAGGTTTCTTTTTCAAACCACATTTTTCCTCTGTAGGGCTATCCCAGACATTACATCTGTGCTTTCCTTCCTGATACTGGAACAGCTGTCGAATCTGATGAGCCACCATGAGGAACTCATCCTGTGTTATTTCACCCGATGTCAACCGTTCATTGGCCTAGAATATAAAGTTAAAGGTTTAGACTTCCAAAAAGCAAAGCAAACTACATATATCCAGGACAATTCTATGAAGACAGACTTATGGTTATTACCTTCTTAAGTAATTCTCTCTTGCTTGCAGATGTCAATTCCTTGGGAATCTGTAAATTGGCATCCACACTTAACCGGTGCTGCTGCTTTGGTGCTCGGGGTGATAGAATTCCTTTGCCAGCAGGCCAATTTTCCCGGTGTCTTTGGTGAGGAGATTTACCAAGTGCTTGGTGCTCTTCATTCTGCTGTGTGCTGAAAGCAAGAGTAGATTTAAAATACAGATTACTTCTTTATTTAGGACATGATTGTTACATTCCTATTAGAACTGATGATGGCAAAACAACACTATCACCTCAGAATCCAAGTATACACCATTTCCATATTTCACCAGTAGAAATACATTACACTGATCAATTTTAACCATCTGAACATTGCCTCCTAAAGGTGGCTACATTGAAGTCAGCAGCAGAATCTCCGCTGACTTCCAACAGAAGTTGTTTTAAAGATAGTAACTTACTTTTTGTTTTCTTCCCAACCAGATTTCCACCTCTTGCCTGATTTGGATCCTTGCCAGTTCTCTGCATTCTCCTTTGGATCAGGAGAAGCTTTAGTAGAATGCTGGCCTGCTGTTTCTTGAGGCCTGTCTTCTTGGGCTTTTTTCACTCTCCTCGGATCTCGCACCTCTTGTTTAGCATTCCTCTTAGTCGAATTTCTTTCATCTCTTGCTGCTTGTGTGCTTTCTTCAGCATGAGACTGCTTTGCACCTATCTGACGGATCTTTCCAATTTTTGGAGTTGATGAAGTAGGAGATAAGCTCCTAAGTCTTCTTTTTGGTGACCTCCTCTCCCGTCTTTTTGGAGAATGTGTAGATGGTGACCGTGCCTTAGGAGAGCGTGATCGTGACCGTTTCCTATTACTCGACCTCCCTTGTTTCCCACCCTGTTTCTCTGTCTCCTCTGTACTTGTGTCTTGTTTCTGAACAGCACCATTGATGACTTTATTTCTGCTGCCTGCTGCTCTGTGTTCACTTGTCTTATGTTCCTCTTTTTCCTTCTTCTCTATATTTCTCCTCTTTTCCTTCACCTCCTCCTCTTTGCCATCTTTATCTTGAAGATGTCTTTTCAGTCTTGGATCCCGCTTACTAATATCAGATACTTTCGTGCTTTCACATTCCTGGCTTTTAGTATCTTTAGTACTGGGCTGCTTATTTTTCAAAGGGGATGGTGATTTAGATTTTGTTTCTGACTGCTCAAGTTCTTTCTTCTGTGTTTTTTCACTTGTTTTCGATTTCTCCTGCTTTGTTGAGCTCTGTTTCTCAGATTGTGTTGTTTTACTTGTCTTGGTATCAGACTGACTGGTTGTGCTTGGTGGAAACTCTTTCCTATGAGACTGGTCTTTACCATGAGAAGAATGTTGACTCATCCTATTAAGCCGAGGATCTCTGTTTGCTATTTTGACATCATGAAGTGGAGGACTTGGGGATGGCTTGCTTTTTTCAGATTGCACAGCAGTCTGATGAGGTGCTTTAACTGTCATATGAGGTGTGGAAGACATGTGTTGCTTAGAAGGTGCTGGAACTGAAGCTACAGATGATGATCCTTGCTGAACGCTAAGAGATACAGCCTGAAACAGGAAAACATCCTGCATTAATCTGCATGACACAACTACCTTGAGATGTTCATGTTCGTATCTCAAAACCAAAACTATAAATGAAAACATCTTGAAAGTTATGAGTCACCCATTTAACTGAAAATGACCCACTGTTAACTGCAAGTGTTAAACTAATGCAGTGCCATTACAAAAGATGAAATTCAAATATAATATGAACCAGTACTATGAAGTCAATACTGTAAAATCTGTACTTTAGGCACATGTTCTTGTTACAGTGTTAGCTTTCTATATATTCCACACACTCAAGGCAACTAAGATGCCAAGAAGCTGATACAATGTTCAAGTTTCTATGCCTCAAAAATGCTTTATTTTGGAATCATCAACTGCCACCACAGCAAGACTTTCAGTTACGAATGTAAACCAATAGAGCTTAACCACCATCTTCAGATGGTGGCATCAAACCATTTTGACCTAATGAGGAAGGTGACCTTGCTTCCACCAATCAGGCTTCCCCATTCTGCAAGAGCAAATATATTTGAAAAAGCCTTGCTTGATATGAGCCACAAGAAGAGGTGGAAGAAGAAGAGGCAGGCATCATTTTGGAGAGAAGTTAGAACGCAAAATACCAAGAACTTCACCTTTTTTTAACCTCTGAGTGGAATTCTTAAGGATTTTAGGTAATAAGTAACTGTTCAGAAACCCCAAATCAACTTGCACTGCTCTAGTGCTAAAACAGCTACCTGCCCAAGGGAAAAGCAACACCGTAGTTACCGGCACACCTAAGCACTGTCCAGGATAAAATGAGACCCAACTACACAAGTTTCACCAACTCTCCTACTCACCAACTGTGCTTTCGTCTGTTCCAGCTCCAGCTCTAATTTTTTTTGCTGAAGTTCTAACAACTGCTTTTGCTTTGCAAGCAATTGCTGCCTTATTAGTTGCTCCTGTGTCAAATTCTTTTGTATTTCAGGAACAGCAGGAGGAGTAGAGGCACCAGAAGTTATAGCAGAGGTAGGCGTAGCAGATTCCTCTGGCTAGAGACACAATAAATGAAAGTTACATTTAAAATCCTGGTGGCATCAAACAACTCCATCTCCTTTAAGTGCTACCATGATCTAGTACTGGCACTTAGGTTTGTACAGCAGTTAGAAATTGCATTTTTAATGCAAAATGTAATTAAAACTATATAAAACTTTTGCTCCACTGTAACTTTCTGCTGTGACAAACCTGTCGTCTATTATAAATTCACCACGTTCCAAAATCAAGAATAATTTTGACACACACAAACCAAACCCAGCAAATACTCTCAATTCAGAAATGCCTCTTACCTGGCGACAAAGGTTACTTCATTCACAATCAACTGTCAAAAAGCAGCACACAAACAACGAAAATGACACGTTTTACCATCTGTTCATAGAAGAGGCAGAAACACTTACCGATTTATTTAAAAACTTAGGATTCACATGGATGCTAGAAGTATTCACATTTGGGGGCAGAGGTTTAATAGGCCAAGCAGGATCTAATGAGTTGACTCTGACATCAAGTGCATACAGTTTCTTCAAAGGAAAAATATCATCCCATGTGGAGCGTAATTTAAATAAACTTTTCCTAGTATTCTCATCCACCTAAAACAATAAAACAATTCTATGGCTTGTTAAGTTAATATAAAACAATTTCTTAAACTTTTCTGTAGAACTTAGTTCATTCATTTCCTAGTTCTAGCAACAGTTTGCTGGTTTAAACACAGAATTAAAGCAGTGCAGATCATACATCTATACCAGCAGAAATCAGTTAACAGCAGCTCAAATGTGGGACTGTTGTTTCAAGGCCACTGGAAGGTTTTACTGCGTATTACCATTCTCTGAGAATTTTCTTTCAACTTTTCCATTACCAAAATTCTCATTTTATTTGCCCAATTTCTGTGGAAAAAATACAGTAACAAAAATATTGAAAGGCAACAGCCTCTGAGACAACACACTGGTCTGGTGTTTGTGCTAACTGGAGTACAACAATGACAAACAGATCAGGAAACCACAAACTCTGTGCACAGGAAAGGTGTTTTGCTCAGCTGGTCAGCCACTGAAGGACTTTTTTCCCCAACAAATGCCACAAAAGGACTATTTTAAGTTAACTGTATTTCAGCTCAGCTGCACAATTAGACCCATCTGTGAGCCATAGATCAAGAGGACCTGTAGGACCACTGCCCATTTTATCTCTTCACAATTTGTTTGGATCATCATGACAGGTAAAAGTTGGAAATTTGCAGTAAAGCAAAATACCATTCACCTCATAACTTGAGTAGTTCAATGAACAATAAATGAAAAATATTTGAGAAGAAATATATGCAGCTGTCTTAATGTCAATGTCCCAATTCAACCATTAAGTATTGACTTTGTGGGTGGGTTTTGCTGCAGTTTAGTCTTTAATATGTTACAGCAAGACGTAGAATAGTCTGGGAAGAGCAGGAACTTCAACAAAAGAAATTCCTACTTAGTTACTGGGGGGGGGTCCCTGTAAAATTTTTAGTGAGAGGGCTTGGAGTTCACTGCAAAAGGTGCAAAAATGACTGAGAAGTTTCTGCCTTCATCAAGTGTCCACTGACTGATAAAACAGAACTTGTAATAATGTCAGTGCTGGAATTCTACTTGCATCTTTCAACACAAGCAGTTATGCTATTAGAAGCGATTACTTTACACAATTCATTAATACACATAAATAGTCCTAGTTAGTTTATCAGACAGTTAACCTATAGAACTCTGAAAATCAGTTATTATCCAGAGCTTCAGCTGCAACATTAAATGCAACTCAGTAAAAAAAATACATTCACAATACTGAAAAAATAGAGTATCTACCTATCTACATACGAGAGCTTAAGTGTTCTGTGATCATATTATCATCTATTCCTTATTTCATTATGTGTATTACATCTGAAAACCATATACAAAGCATAGTGGGATTTCAGATCCTCACTGATATGTAGTGACAGGTAAATACACAAACATCTCATTCATACGAGATGCAACTCTCTTAAATCATAGGAAAACACAGAAGCTAACCCTTCATTTCTGATCCAACTTAAACCCATTCAAGTCCAGCCTTCCAAAAACTGGACTTTGATTTGCCTTTCTTACTGGGAAATACGCAGAATTACTGCCTGGGTTTAAAGATCAAGAGCAAAAATTAAAAGATACAGCAACAGTTCTCAAGGTTAAATGAAATTAACCATATTTGTCATGTAAAAGAGCCATACATTCTAATACCCTTCTCCCCTAGCATTTTTTTTTCCTTCACATCACAGACCACCAGGAAAGAAGTGGATATCAGTGCTATTCACTCTTCACAGTTTAAGCACTCATTCTGCGTATCACAAATCAAGTAAGTCAGACAAATCTAACCACAGCAGAGAGAGGCTCTGAGGAAATCCACCAGAAACTGATTCTCAGTCTAGTCTTCACATAAAGACTAGTTATCTTAAAACTAAACCAACAATTCGTAGTTAATTGGTTTATACATGACAGAAGGTCCATCCAGGTAAACAAAACCCTATTGGTAAAATCTTGCCTGGATATAGGAAAATTATACATGGTTATAAACCAAATCAAGACTCTGCTAACATGCAACTCACATGCTTGGTATTTCACAGTACATAGTACTGAGACTGACATCAACCAACCAATCTGTATAGTTCAGCACTCAAGAAAACCCCAAATTGAAATCAAGTATTTATTTTACCAGGAACACGTATTTTCTTAGAATACAGAACTTTTCTGAAAGTGTATATACCTTTTCAAATACACAAATAAATGTTGCAACTAGGTTTTTAGTAAATGCAGTAAGATACTCTCTTCCGACGTTCTTGACAATGGAATCCATAAGGTACATAACAGGAAGCTTCTCTGATGCAGGAGCCTGGAGTAATAAGAAGAAACTGAGAAGTTTAGTACAACAAAAACACATGTTAAGCTTTTTAAATAGAGGGATTACCAATCCCAGAAATACAGACCTCTCTTTTTGGTTGCCACTATAAACACCAAGGGAATTGCCTTGGGAATTTTTCTGTTTATACAAAAACTTAATCTGGAAAATCGGTAACTCAGTTCAAAGTATAGCACGGTGGGTCTATCACACAAAAAAGGAACACCTCAGGTTATTCTGTCTGTGTACCAAAGCTTGGGAAAAGGCAAAAACAAAAAAAAGAAAAAAGAAAAAAAGAAAAAAAGCCCACAAGACAGTATTGCTGCTATGTACTGATGGAACCTTTGGAAAGCCACTTGAGAAAACAGGTTTTTAAAGTTAGCAGGAGTCAATCAGTAGCACTTCAAGGAACGGCTAAAAAACGTTTCTAATTCAAACCTCCTGAATGCTCAGTTTTTTCTGGGTTTCACAGAACTCAAATCAGACTTCTGGCAAATAGCCACAAGCAGGGAACTTCTGTAGCTGTTGAGTATCAGTCATTTAATAAACCACACGTAGAACAGGTCACAGTTATCTCAGCATAATCCACACAGATAGAGGGAGTCCCACTCTCTGCAGGCACTTGCAGGCAGTGACAGTCCAATTTCCAGAGTGCATGCAAAAACGCAGTCACAAGGTTCAAAATCCAGAGAGAACTCAAGTATCTGGTCAACCGGGTAAAGGCACAGACAAGCTCGGGAACTGCAACCAGCAAATTGCAACAGAAGGGAATCTTCATGGACACAGCTGCTACAACAGGAGGCTTGGGTTTTGTTATCTGTTTGATTTATATCCAGTTTCAAAACTTGTAACAAGTTTGTGCAAAGGTGTGGTGATGCTGGACCACTACAGCGACTTCTAATGTACACAAAGCACTACCAGCCTGATCAAGGTGGTTTTAATGCCCACCACTGGCTTTCACAAAGCAGAAGGCACAACAAAGTTCCAGAACACGTCAGCAAATACACAGACTTGTGGAGAAGGACACGAAAGACACCACCACAAGCTGTGTGTTGACTGTGACCCCCTTAGAAGAGCATCCACTTGTAATACTTTTAAAGTCCCATTCACCATGCGGTGAGATCAGGATAAAACCAGAACTCCGCTCACTGCTCATCTTAAACAGGACAGGCTACTGGGTTCATTAAGGACACCGTACATCACAGCCCCTCATCCAGACAGGTGTGTGGAAGTGTTCTTGCTTTACAATGTTAGATTTAATTCCCCTTTTAGGTGGTTCACAGAAGGGCACCGGTCAACAATACTTTTATATGGGTAAAGCACAATGTTTCCTCACCCTTAAATGTGTATTTATTTACCATGACCTGAAACTTAACATTGAAGAGGGCAGAATTCCTTGTTAGTTGGGGACAGGGAGGGGAGCGCCTTTGAGCACACTGAATGAAGTAAAAACAGGCAGGTGCTGTACTTTGTCCATAAAAAGACAGGATGCAGTAAAGTTAACCAAATTAAGTTAAATGCAGCACACTAAAAACCTATCTTACACTACAATGTATTCAATTTGTAAACAAGCTAATATGCAAGCGTTAGAGTAACGGCATCTCTCTAGTGCCAGAAATCAAAGCCCCCTGGGTCTACAGCTACTTAGTATTAAAATGTTCATGGAATACGGGTTTGTTCTTTCGAGCAGCCTGCACAGTGACACATTAAAAACACTAAGTTCTGAATCTATGCCTGCAGAAAAAAAAAGAGAGTGCACTATTCCTGACTTTTAAAGTCAGCTGTTAGAGAAAACAAAGAGCTGTCTCAGAAGTGTCTATGCCAAAGAGCTACTAACATAGTATGTTAGACTCATTCCATCTCACCAATGAATGGAAATAGTTCACTATACGCAGAGAAGGTTTAAGTTTGAGACACTGGGGAATCATTTAGTAGCAAAAGCAACGTAACATTTAACTGTCACTTTCATTACGCATCAGACTGTTAGAAGTATTCATACACGGAAGCACTGTCGCCTTGTAAGGAAGCCTATTTCAAACTATGGCACAGATTAGCATCTTAGCAGCACACCCTGCTTCAAAGCTAAGCTATTCAGGTGTCACATTTTAAGAACCACGACTTAAAATATGGTCAGAATATTTAAGCCTTCCCTCCTGGAAATGTTTATTAGGTATCTAGCCCATACTCCAGTAACCACTCAAGGGAACCCCAGATTGGAAGGGATTTTGTTTTCAGGCGGTCTATACAACACCCCCTAGCAAGAAAGATGCCCGCTACCGAAAGGCACCACCACATCACCACCAGAACACAGAACACCACTAACTGAGCTCCTCCACTTTAAAAACGTCATTACAGAATTCCCACTCTTCCTTCAAATAATGTTGGAAAGCTACTGTTGGAAATGTGTGGCTCTTTTTTATTAGTTTCCTAAAAGACTTCAAGTTTCAAATCGGACCCCAAGTCACAAACTTGTGCAAAAACTGGTTGTTTTTTTTTAAAAAAGAACCTTGTACACAAAATGGGTCTTAGAAAACAAAGTCTGCCCTATACAGTGGTAAATAAAAAGACAAATACATATTTCACACTTTTTATTTACAAATAGTATCATACCAGTCACACATTTCAGAACCATTTATTCAATTCCAAAGCAGACCACTCGAATTTTACACTAAACAAACTTGTCTCCAAGGCAACACTTTTTAAAAGTGGCTTAGCAAAGGAGATCACTTTCCCAGAAACAACTAAAAACTCGCCTTCGATAAAACCACAGTCACAAACAGTAACTAAGCACAACTAGCCATTGATACAGGAGTTTAGACATCTTGGAAAAAAAAAAAAGAGGAAAAAATATAGAAATCACACTTCAGGGCAGGCTCTGAATCACCCAGAAATGAAGAAGAAAAAAAAAATATCACAGCATTGATTATTTATCACAAACCATTTTATACACATCCACTGCCCTTTAGGAGATATAATGGTGAGATCTATTCGGTTAGTAGGTCACCTCCCCAAGGAATGGCAAAACTCAGCCACTGGCAGCATTTAAAAGCAGACTGGAAGAGGTCTGTGGAACACTAAAAAGCCACCCTGCATTGATAAAAAGAGCAACTTATTAAAGAGATCCTTCCCTCCCCATCATTAGACAGTACAATTCTCACCATTATAAACCACGATTTCAAGCCAAAGGGAAAAAAGCCTTTGAACACGTGAGATCAGAGGGAGCAAGGGAAACCACGGGGGAGGGGTGACTGGCACGAGTAGGGGAGGAGGAATTGGAAGAAGAACCCTTTTCTTACAAAAAGCTGCTGTTAAAAAGGTGCTGTAAACCCCCCTCCATGTGCTGTGGCTGACTGATGTCAGCAACTGCCTGGGTTGGGCTCAGAGGGAGCCTCCTCTTTCCCTTCTTTTTATATCATGTGCCTTTCAGACGCCATGTTAGGATCCTACAGGCTGCTGCACTTTCTAATGTCGGGGAGAATTCTTCCCCATCCTTAACCGATACACTTCTCTAACCAAGATAAACACGCACACAAACACTGCCGTTAATCGGGGCACAGAGCACCTGGAATCCAAACAGATTACCCCAAAACCCACAGAATTTTCTCTAGAATCAGGAAGAGCAAAAAACAACCTCCCCCCCCCATTACCACCACACACACTTCTCTATCCGGAGCGGATCATCACCTTTCAAACTTTTCTATAAGATAAGGGTGCCCACCCCACCAAAATTAGTATCTCACTGGGAAAATCGCCTTAACTGATACTTGTAAGTCATTGTATTTAGCCCTTCAGAAGTGGACAATTTGCGTGCTATGAACTTAAATCTCTTTGAACTACAAACCACCCCCAATAAATAAAAGTAAAAAATTAAAAGACCTTCCACAAACTGTCCCCATCGACCCCTCTCTACCGATCGCGATGTATTCGAAACCACTAAACTCAAGGGTTTAGACACCAGCCTAACTGCACGCTGGCTCCATGTAAGGGGCAAACCCAGCTCCAAGGGCGAGGTGCCGCTGCCCAGTCACTGCCAGGCCGCCATGTTGTGTCTGTTATTTACACGGGGCTTCAAACGCGAGCTTGCATTTGGCGGTGGGGCGAGTCCCAAACCCTCCCTTCTACTGCCAACAGGGTGGCGCGGGGCTGGTCCCCTCCCCCGAGTCCCCTGCTCCCTACGGGGTGAAGGGTATTAGAAGCGGCAGCCTTAACTTGGCGATTAAAGAACACCCCCCCCCACCCCGTGCTCCCTGGCCCCAGCTGAGGCACGCTGCCTGGTTCCCCACAGCCACTCCGGCCTCTTGCTCCTCTCCCATCCCTCCACCTCAGCCCAAACCCTGCTCTCTCTGCTCGCCCCCTCCACTACCTCACGTCCCCTTGATCCCCCTGGCTCGCCTTCTTCCCGTCTATACCCGCCCCGCCGCTGGCCTCCTCTCTGCCTCGCCCCGCTTCCCGCCCCTCAGGCCCTCTCGCCTCGCTGCCTCTCCCCGTTCCCTCCGCTCTCCTCCTGCCTCTCCCATCCGCCCGCCGCTGCCGGCTCCTCCCGCACCCCTCCTCACTCTTATCTCCCCCACACGCCCTTTCCTCCTAGCCCCGGAGGCCGCCCTAGCCCGCTGCCCCGGCCGGTCCCCCCAGCAGTATAGGTAGGAGTAGTAGTCGGTGGAATATAAAAACCTTGGCGATTTGCGCCTCGATCAGGGAGACGATGTCCTTGGCGAAGGGCACGTTCTCCTCGGCCAGGATGGTCAGCATGTTGATGTGCGGCTTGCTGTTGAACGTCAGGTCCTCCAGCGACGACTGGTAATCGCGGCACGCGTCCTCCCGGGCCTCGCTGCTACCAGCGCTGCTCTCCGGGGCCGACATTGCTTTCTCCGACCGTGGCCCCGGCAGCAGGACCCGATACCCAACCGAGCGACAAGCCTCCCTCCCCGCGATTCCCCCCTTGCCGCCGACCGCCGCCGAGCGATGCCGCCCCCCCGCCGCTGCCGCTGGGCTCCTCTACCGCATCCTCCGTGCTGCGGCTCCCGCGGGCTGTGGCGATGCCGCGTGTGCTGCCGCTGCCGTCGGCCGCCGCCGGCTCAGTCTCAGCGCTCACAAAATGGCGGCGGCGGCTCGCGAGCCTCTTCCTCCAGCCGTTGCGTCATGTGAAATTGTTCTACGGGAAAACGGCCGGCGGCTTGGAATGCCCCTTTTGTTCGCTGGCTGCTCTCCGATTGGCCGGCGACCCTTCTGCTCAGACGGCGATTGGCTCGTCCATCACTACTGCAGCTGATTGGTTCCTGACCTAAAGCTCCACCCCCGCCCTGCTGTCCTGACTTGCGACTGGCTGCGATTCCCTCACCCCCTACCCCCTCCGGTGACATAAAGCTCTGCCTCTTCCTACCGCCTTCCCTGGCTGCCCTGAGCGTTGATTGGTCCCCTGTGTGATCCCGCCTTTCCTCTCAGCTCTCCAATTGGACTTCTCGGCGCGGACGTATCGTCCCGCCCCCCGCTCGCTATTGGGCCAGGCGTTGCCGTGGCAGCGCCGTTACCCACCGCCCCCGGGTGGGCCTCGGGCCTGGAGGTGAATGGTGGCGGGCCGTGCGGACCTGGGGGTCCCTGGGGAACGGTCCCTGCACCGGGGAAGCGGAGAGCGGGGGCTGCCGGCAGCCCCGTACCGGAGGGATCGCTCTCTGCAGCCAAGCGAGCTGTGCCAGGCCGCAGCACTCGCGTAGGCCTGTCAGCGGGACGCGGCCTTGTCCTCCTGAAGGGTGGCGGTGCCCCAGGAGCTGTGGTCCGCGGTGATCAGGGGTGCCCGGTTAATCCGGGTGTGTGCCTACCTCATGGGTGTTGTCTGTCTCAGCAAGTGTCTGTGGGCTCCCGGCTTCACAGACTCCCAGACTGGTTTGGGTTGGAAGGGACCTTAAAGCTCATCCAGTTCCACCCCCCTGCCACAGGCAGGGACCCCTTCCACTAGAGCAGGTTGCTCCAAGCCCCTGTGTCCAACCTGGCCTTGAACACTGCCAGGGATGGGGCAGCCACAGCTTCTCTGGGCACCCTTTGCCAGCGCCTCAGCACCCTCACAGGGAAGAGCTTCTGCCTGAGAGCTCATCTCAATCTCCCCTCTGGCAGGTTAAAGCCATTCCCCTTGTCCTGTCAGCACTTGAACCTTTTAATTGGTCACACCACTGTTCATAGGTCTCAACAGAGCCTTTTCACTTTACTAATAATAGGACTACGGCAGTCAAAAGTAACAAAACCTGCCCTTGATCACCAGATTTGCTCAAATGAAGTTAACTTGCTTGCAAACCATCTTAAGGTATAGCCGTTCCCTCCCTGCACTGCGTATAACTTGCTAACTGTGCAGAAGTGTTGGCATTTGAAAGTAGGTCATTGGCAAACGCTTCTTTGAGACACGCTTTGGAAAACACATTCTATGAAAACATTTAAATTGAAAAATACATATGTATAGTATATAATAAGTATGAATATAAATATGTATTTATGTATATACATATAAACATAAATATAAACATAGATATATAGATATAGATGTGTGTGTTTGTATATATATAAATATATACATTCTGCAAGTATAGGAGAAATATAGCAAAAATGGAGACCTAGCAAATTTCTGGTAAAAACTGCTGTTTGCCATTTTATCTGGATAAAAACGTTGGTTTCTGTGTCTCTATTTATATTCTCTTTCTGAAAACAGGTGGTGTTCAGACCAGCGAAGAAGGACAGGAAACTCAACAGCATCTTTTGTTTGCCCATTGAATTGTGTGTTCGTGTTTGTTCCTGCAAGCCTCAACTTTGTACACACCACTTCCCCTTTCCAGTGTGTCACCACGAGATAAGCAAATGAAACTCAGGTTTGTGTCTGGGATTGGCCGAAGCTGGGACTGACTTTTCCTCAGTGTAAATAACTGCCTCCTATTTGCAGACACGCTGTCCAGGAGGAATATTATGTACCAGGAAGCGTGCCATCGTGTAAACGCAGTTCAATTGGCAAAACCAGCACATATGGTTCTGCTCCAAGGGGAAGAATGTGAGGGTGGGGGAACGTAGCTGCTCTTCCAATGACAGTTGGAACGCTTGTTCATACTAATTACAGGAGCAAAACCAATAATACGAGCAAAACTGCCTGGAGAGGATGTCATGTGGTCCAAGGCCACCCTCAGAATCAGATTTGCTATTTACTAATCAGCAAAGGACTGAGCCTGATGCGAGCTGAAGCAGTTTGCTACCCTCCAGAACACACCCGGCTCCCTGACACTGAGCACATCCTACATGCCTGAGCAGATCCAGTGTTTTAGCATGTTATTAGTTCATCTTCACTAGCCTTCCTATGTAGACAAGGTCCAAAGGCTGTTAGAAGTTGCCTGTGTAGCTCCCATGCTGGTGAGTTTTGGGAACACTCTATGCTCTAGTCAATGCTTGAAACAGCTCAACTAGATGATCTTAAGGTCCTTTCCAACCCTAACTGTTCCATGATTCTGTTAGGAGTGGCACAGAAATTACTGTTGGGCCTGTCCCTGGGCTCTCTAATGAGAAGTTGCTTTATTATTACAGGACTTGTAATAGCAATATGTGCAGAGATGGAGTTACCAGCTCTGCAGACCTAACATAAGCAGCATGGCCAGCAGGTCAAGGGAGAGGATTCTCCCCCTCCGATCTCGTGAGACCCCCTCTACAGTCCTGCATCCACCTCTGGGGCAACAGCACAAGAGGGACACGGAGCTGTTGGAGTGAGTCCAGAGGAGGCCATGAAGATGCTGCACGGGCTGGAGCAGCTCTGCTCTGGAGCCAGGCTGAAAGAGCTGGGCTGGGTCAGCCTGGACAAGAAAAGGCTCCTGAAGGGGAGACCTTAGAGCAGCTCTGGTGCCTAAAGGGGCTGCAGGAAACCTGGAGAGGGGCTTTGGACAAGGGCCTGTAGGGACAGGACAAGGGGAATGGCTTGAACCTGCCAGAGGGGAGACTGAGCTGAGCTCTTAGGCAGAAGCTCTTCCCTGTGAGGGTGCTGAGGCGCTGGCACAGGGAGCCCAGAGAAGCTGTGGCTGCCCCATCCCTGGCAGTGCTCAAGGCCAGGTTGGACACAGGGGCTTGGAGCAAGCTGCTCTAGTGGAAGGTGTCCCTGACCGTGGCAGGAGTTGGAACTGGATGAGCTTTAAGGTCCGTTCCAACACAAACCGTTCTGTGATTCTATAATTCTATGACCTATGCCTGCAGAAGCCCACTTCTTACATGTGTTCTTGAACACACTTCTTATCAAAAGCATACCTTGGCTGAAGTCATTACTTAGAGATGATTCTGGTACAGCTGTGTCCCGCTGCTTCTTACCCCAGTTAACATAGGTCTCAGTTGCTTGGTTTTGTTTTCTTTCTAGATGCAGCTAGGGGTTTTGCTGGATAAAACCCACTAAAAAGCTGCTAGACCAGACATACATGGTTTACACTTGACTTGAGAATCACCAGCAACTGATCATTAGTTTTCCTGAAGGGCTATGAAATTACAGTACTACATGAGAAGATACATCGAGATAAGAAGTCTTACAGGAACTTACTACATTCCAAAGCATTTGTAGTTGTACTTGAGAATACTCATGTTTATGCTTGAGCTGAATTTTCCTG